CGCTCTGAGATTTCAGTTTGCATTTGTACTGTTGGCTTTTTTATCTTTCACAAAGAGCTTAGTTCCAAAGAACGCTTCCCCTTTGCCAAAATTCCACATGATCTTGCCTTCAAGGAAACGTCTCCATTTTTAGCAGGCTAGGAGAGCCTTTCTTTAAAGCAGATTTCTGCTAACAGTAATTTTAACCCATGAAACATGAACATAAGCAAGTCAATTCTAGTTCAAATTATAATAGCTATATTTCACTCATATGCTTATTCATAGCGAAATTCAGCATTTGTGCTTTGGGGGCGGGAATCAGTTGTTTGCCATTTATGGTATGTCAACCAGCAAGAGTGTGCACATATTGAAGCAAATAATCTGCATCATGCTGATTACTCCTTGCTTAATTTGACAGTTATAATTGCTTCTTAATTAATGCTTTAATATTTCTAAAAAAAAAAATAATTAACATCCCACTCCAACATTCTCTCCTTTCTTCTGAGGAATGGAGAGAAATCTTGGCACAAAATTTATTTTGCACAATAATTTGTGCTGTAACACCTTTTATTTTTCTGGTTGTTGCTGAATTTATTTTACGCATACAGTAGCAGAAGAGTATCACTAAAACAAGTCTTTATTGACAAGATATTTTTTAATAAAATACCTTAGCTTTTGTTCTTTGACCTCAGTCCCACTTTCTCTTTTGGAAAAGCACCAGCTACTGCTGTACTGCAGGGTAGCATGTGTGTAAATATATAACCAATCACTGGAGTGCTTTTTTCTTTACTTCTGTCCTGGTTTTCTTAGAGCTGTTCCTTTCATTCAGATATTTTTAGGAAGAAGGTGGGGAAAAGGATGGAGCTGTTAAGTTGTTGAGCACAATGACTGCTGTACTCTCTGCCCCATTTCTGGTCCCATTTAAGGTCTGCTTTCTGGAGTGGGGGAGGGTATCACTGAGTGACTTAGGGATGCTGTGTTCTGGACTTTGGAGGAATTTAAATACTTGTTGGAGGTTTGCAGGGGTGCAAGGTGGGGAATTGCAAATAATAAAAAGTGGTTCTTCATTTGGAGGTTCAGAATTCACATTTTGTACTTACATTCTTTCTGACTGTATTTTGTACTTCTATTTATATTTCTGTCTAATTTCTGTCTGTATTTTGTACTTACATTATTTCTGTCTAATTCTTTAAGTATTGTTTTACTGTATAGCTTAGACTTTTTTTTCCTAGTGCTTGCCCTTTTTTTTTTTTTTATGGTCCTGTCAGACCCTCCCTCTCAGCTCTGCATTTGAGCACGTGAAATCATGGTGGCTATGTATAAGGTAGCATTCTTGTGGCCATCATGAGAGTAAAAATGCTGCAGACTTATTAAACCAAACATGTAATTGCTTAGACCCATTTTGAATGATGTAAGAGACCATACTGCAGCATCGAAACTCGGCTCCAGTTTAATCTGCTTTCCACTGAATTTCTACTGCTGAACAGAAATGCCAAGTTTTAAAAATCACTGTAGATTGAAGGAAGTCTGGAAGAACATAGTCATTGCTGCTAACCAGCTTTGGTGTCTCTCTTCTATCACACTGAGTTCATTTGTTGTTTAAAAAAATGTGTTTTCATTTCTTCATACCTGATGTTATTTTGCGGAGTTATTTCTTTAGAAATCATAGCTCAGAATATATGAAGTTCTTGACTAGTTCATGCCTTATGGCACAATATGTATATATTAAGCTTTAAATGTTCTGTAGTAAGATAAAGTGAAACAAAAAGCAATCGAGAATTCTCATGTTTGTGGTTAAACCCTTTGCAAGACAGAGCTGAAAGAAACTTTTTCTTTGTGGTTCTTCTGCCAGAAAATACGGCTCATTACTTGGGAAGCCTATTTATTTGTTAAAATGGGTAGTATTAAAACAGACTTTGCCAGCACAGCTGTGTGAAGGATGAATAAAGCTGTGCCGAAGGATGTTAGTATGTGGTGAGATAAGTGGTGGAATTCAGTTCCATCCTTCAGGGTCCCGAAGAAAAACACCCCTTATATGTGAACCAGTGTTGTAATAATTCTTAAAAATAAATAGGTGTGTAAACATCTAGTCAATGTGGGAGCTAAGGATTTTTTCTAAATTACTCTTGCTTGTTTCTTGGCATCTCTGAAATAATTTGCATTCTTCTCCCTTTCATATAGGGTAACATACATGCTGTGAAACCTTACGGCAAGTTGTGTGTATCACAGATCATGTCAGTGACTACAAATACTATGATTTGCCACACTTAGTAGAAATTTTTCAGGATACATCGTTATTTGTGTTGGGACAGTATGTTTGTTTGGAAATCGCTCTTCTCCTGTTACATTTTACAACAATGTTGGCACAGGAGAGATCCCATAGGGAGTGTCACAATTTTGGACATCTCATTGTTGCACAGTTTTAGCACCATTGCTCTGCTTTAAGCCTTCTGCAGCTGTACAGCTTGGAGGAGAGGAGGGTTGGAGTTAGCTGTCATCTTCACTGAAACATTAAGAGAATTAAACTTATGGAAGTAAAGCAGAAGAAACCCTAGGACAGACTAGTGTCATATGGGAGGTAGATTGTGCAAAATAAGTGTCCATTACACACTTTCAAGGGAATTTATGCACTGTGTCCTTGCAGGATATACACAATCACTTTATTGACTACTATCTGCAGTTCTTAGGCAGGTTCTGATCACACAGATTCATTTGCTGTTTCCACTTAGTCTGGAGTTCACTGAGTGCTTTAAATCAGCAGAAGTGATCCCTGCCACCAGAACAAGGGGCTCTGCTGCCTGCACCCTCGTTTTTTTCCCTGGTGGTGGCATAGGGTTTTGGGGGCTGTCTGGTTAGGTGATCAGAAAACATGTTATATTTAATTCTGATCAGAGTTTCCCGCAAACTGTGACGATACAAATGGCCTGAGACGAACAACAGAAGTAAGAAAACTTTGGGGTTGGCTGTAGCAGGAAGCAGGGTCCATCACAGTGGTGTCTTTGTGTTTGATGCATTCATCTGATATTTCATCTGGATTAGCATATGGTAAGATTAGGATGTTTCTAGAAGCTGTCTTTAGCCATCTGTAGGTGCAGGTTTTTCTTCGCTCTTAGAAGAAGAGGGAAAAAAGGTCTCACAAAAAAAAATAGAAAAAGGGGGCAAAGATCTCAAACTGTTTTCTGTCATAAGGCAATTAAAGAATTCTAGGTATGCAATACGGACGTAATGCTGATGACTTCTATTATTTTGTAGATTTAGCTCCCACTATTAGAACTGGTCAGAAATGTTCATTTTTTAAAAAAAAAATCAGGTTCAGACAAGTTGAAGCTGAGGTCATGTTTGAGCCTGATACAAATTGGAAAGAAGCAGTTAGTGTCATTATTTTTTTTTTTTTTTTAAACTCATTGCTGAACAGAGAAGGAGTTTCACTGTGTTCCCTGTTACATTTTTGTATCCATGGACTAGAAGTCTCTATGATTTTTATGTTTTCTTATCTGCATGCACCCTGGAACATCTGATGAACTTCATATCCGTCATAGCCTCTGCTGTAGTTCACTTCAGTGGTACCTCTAGACTGCATAAAGCAGTTCCTTCCCACTTGTACACTAAAGTACATCTGGAGGTTTTTCTCTACAAAGTTTTTCATAGTGATTCTTTCTACTGAGAATTACAGGTCATCAGTAGTAGCATCTGCATTCGCAGTCTTAAAAGTAGTCTGCATTGGATGGTTCCTTCATGGAATAGAGATACAGAAATTACTGTGTCAGTTTATTGTAGGTGTTTTGGGGTGGGAGCTTTTATCCTCTTACACTGATGAGGAAAAATTGAAATTCAAAACAAATAAAGAAAATAGCAATTTAATTTGGATTTTTTTTCATAATTCGTGACACCAATTCAGGTTAGATGGGTTTTTATAATGAGTGTCTGCCTTCCCTTAAAAATGTAAAGGTGAAGCGTCAGTTTATTAAACAGTATCTCTGTAGGAGCTCCCTGCTGACACAAGGTGCTCTTGATGTGAGCATAACTCCTGTCAGAATTAAGAGTTTGGGTGTGTGAGGAAGCAGGAGCTGTTAGTGTGTGTTTGTGAGAACTCTCCTTTGGCATTGATGAGCAAGAGCTTTCCTTGACCTTTAAAGAAAAAAGAACCCTTTGGAACTGCACTATTTATCACAATGCAGCTTTTACTCTTGAAGGAGAGTAATACTGATGGATATTTTATATGCATAGACTGGTAACTGGCTAAGGAAAAATACTGATTCTTCAGATGCAAACATTTGGTAGGAGTTTTGGTTAAACTTTTGTCTCTTGCTAAGCAAGGAATGCAGGATCACAAAGAAACAGTAAACCTTGCTAGCAGCAAGCAGAGTATTTCTCTGCAGCTGGGAAGACCCTTTATTGAAAATCCTTCCATTGCCTGGTTGAGATTACAAGCTTGAACTGGTGTATCTCTGAAGGAGGGCATGCTTTGGCTAGGGTATAGAAGGCTCACCTAAGGTGTGTGCCTCATGTTTCCCCTGTTAGAACTGTCACCTATGAATATGCGCGTGTCTATATAAAGTATATATTTTAGACCAGAAATCTGAAGCTCAAGAGTAGCAGAGAGTACCTTAGCAGAGTGCAGGAAGAAAAGTACTTTCTGATTCTTTTCGTTACAGCACTGCCCACCCAATACCAACTCCGTAATCTAAGGATGTCCTGGAACAGCTATTTGAAGTTGGGCTTTTGGCATCTTAAACCAGCTTCCTCTAAACATAAGCCAGTTTGGGATATGAAAGTGTGCCTATGAAAGGAGTGTTGCATCTGGCTCTCTTTCTTATTGTGGCTTTAAGATTTTAAAAGATGATGATTTATTTTGTGTGTGAAGTCAGTCACTTCGTAATCTTGAAATTTTTACAGGCAGGACAGCAAAACTAATTCCTGTCCAATTGTTCCCACTGTGTATGGTGAATATACAGACAATACTTGTTTTCATGAAGTTTTAAGATAGCTTTACTGAAAGTTTCTTTTTTCCCTCCCTTCAGATTTGTCACGGAACAGACTGTCAGAGCTTCCAGCAGAAGCATGTCACTTTGTCTCCCTCGAGAGTCTTAATTTGTACCAGAACTGCATTCGATACATCCCAGAGGCTATTTTGAATTTACAGGCTTTAACATTTCTAAATATCAGGTAACAATTGTCTTAGAAATTTTGCTTTAGCATCAGTAGGCTAGGTTTATAAATTTTGATGCATCCATAAATAATGCTAACATGGTATGTAATCATCACGTTGTTATATTGTATGTCATTGAACTAAAGCAACCTGAACCGGTCTTGCCCACTCAGGTGGATCAGGGAAAGTGAGGATTAGGTAGCAGTTTCTGTAAGTGTAGTATGAAGAAGAAAGCTAATTCCAACTTAAAGGACTCACAAAATAAATTCCAGTAGTTTTCATGTGAAATACAGGCACGCAGACTGAAAAGAGGTGGTAGAGCTTTTGGATAGTCTTTACAATTCAGCTCTCAGCAGCTGAATAAGGTTTATGCAATTTTGCTTTACCTTCATTGTACTGGCAGCATAAAAAGCTAATTGCTGCAACTTAGCCCGTTGATGAAATTCAACTGTGTACAACATCCTCCATTTGTAGAAGGTCTTTTAAGAGGTGTGGAAAGTCCCTTGTCACAAATTGGAAGTGATAGTCTCAAGTTTTTCTTGATTGGTATTTCCTTCAGGTGTTATACTTTTGCCAATTTAGTAGTCAAATATTTCTTTCTTTTCTTTTTTCTATTGATGGGGAGAATTGTAGGAATAGGATATGAATCAGATATGGGTTTCCTATTGCTCTGATATCTAGTAGGTGCAGTCCAATTATTGTCCTTTTAAAAGCGGCTGTTTGTTCATCTACTGCTCAGAACTACTTTTTTTTTTGCTTTAATAGCAGGAAAATCTGGGTGTCAAGCATGAAAAAATACAGCAGCATATTTTGCTAAATGTCAATGTCTGATCAAAGCCTTATTTAAGATCCTAATAACATTCTAATCATCCAGTCACTGTTTGTTGTTAAAGGCAACTCTTTTACAATCCATACTCATCTTGCCTGTTTCTCATCTGAGGTTACAGTCCAGTCATATGACTTCATATTTGCTTTAATAGTAGTTTATTATGATATGTCCAAGACTGGATTTTGGAATAGTGAAATCCATCATACCAAGATTCTTGATCCACATGACTGACTTAGAAATATACCTTAAATATTCAGTTAGTCATTGCTTTCTCTATGGCATTTTGTATGTGCTGACCTGCAGTACTCCCTATCGGAAAGGCTTTTGCACTCTGTTCAAACATACTCACTTGTGACAGAGGGTGGCCAGTTACCAGAAGCACCTGAAAGGGCATGAAGATATCGTATTCCTCAGCACGGAGTTCAAAAGCATTTGATCAGGCTTGGTAGTTGATATTGAGAGTTTGTTCACATGTAATTAGATAAAGCAAGTAATGAAGAATGACTTCATGGAACTACTTTTACAGTAATTATATAAGAACAGAGTTGGTCATCCAAAGGGAGTGTGCTTTTTGTATGTGTCTTCCGTTGCATTAAAATGTGAGATGATTTCTCGTTAGAGTTCTGATGATTTTGTTTTCTTTCTGTCCAAAAAGTCGAAACCAGCTTTCAACATTGCCAGTACACCTCTGTAGTCTACCATTAAAAGTTTTGATAGCAAGTAATAATAAGTTGGTTTCGATACCTGAAGAAATTGGACAGCTCAGACAGCTGACAGAGCTCGTGAGTATACAGTTAATTTTTTAACTATTACTATTCAGTCTTTAATTTTTAATTGATGAGTTTCTTAGTTTTGGAGGTGCTTCAGAAGAAATAACCATTTTTTAAACTGATCAAAATAATGCAGTAATTAGGATGCTATCTGGATGTGTGCAAGATCAGCATCTTGTTTCTCATTTCGCTGAGAACTTTGTGATTGTAAACCAGGCACCTGTATGCAATGGCAAGTTACTTCAATCTGCACTTAGCCTGAGGAAGTCTTCTATCTGCCGTAGTATCTCCAACTAGGTTTTGACATTGTAGAGAGGTGTTAGAAAAGATTTTTAAATACTCTTAAGGTTTTAAAAAAATTTATGCGAGGGAAGGATGCCTTGCACTGGAGAGCAAATGATCCGTGTCAGTTTAACTAAGAGTCTTCCCAATTTTTGAAAGGAAGACTGGATGGAATTTGAGCTCTTGGTGCGTTTGTTTCTGGCAAAAAGCTTTTATGAAGCAATTTGTGCTGACTATAATAATATGGAGTAACTTGAATGAGATAACTTGAAATAAACTTCTACATCTTCTAAAGCTTTTATTTCCCCATGTATTTAAAATGAGAATGTACTTTACATCAGCGATGAGATTTAATGACTATAAAGATCTGAGATGTTATGTAAATAGTTGTCTTTTTCAGTCCTTACATAAAGTGCTACATATTTTAGTAAACAGAGGCTTACCAGTCAGTGGTAACTCATCCTTTACTCTTGCTTTGTAGGATGTGAGCTGTAATGAAATACAGACAATACCTCCGCAGATTGGCAGTTTGGAATCCTTGAGGGACCTAAATGTCAGAAGAAATAATTTGGTGCGTTTGCCAGAAGGTGAGATAAAGGCTGTCAGCTATAACAGCAGAAACTTCAAGGACTACTTTATTTTCAGTGCTGTTTTCTTCCCTTGAGAGCTAGAAGCAGAATGCTCAATTGTTTTGTAAAACACATTTTTATACTCTTGCGCTTTTTTATATTCTTTTAATCTGCCGAATTGTATGTTTATTTTCTATCTCCAGAGCTTGCTGAGTTGCCTTTGATTCGATTAGATTTCTCCTGCAATAAAATAACAACAATACCAGTTTGTTATAGGAACCTCAGACATCTGCAGACCATCATGTTGGAGAACAACCCTCTCCAGTCACCCCCTGCACAGGTAAACTGCTGCTAGGAGTTCAGATGACTAGTTCAACTTGAAAGGGCAGAATGAAGTTAAAAGCTGAAGGTTTATATTACAAACTTTATTGAAGAACAAGAGGACTTTAAATAAATTATGTTGTCTAAAAGTGTTAAATATGTAGCACAGCTTGAAAAATCCCTTTTTTAAATCTTACTTTACTGTATTAGTAGTCTCACCTATGGGATATTCCTAAGAAGTCCGCTGTTGGCATTGTACTGTTGCCTGAGTGTTTCTGCTTTCAGTGTAGGAGAGAGGAAGCTCTCTTAGGCAAGACTGATTTTGTGCCATTCAAATGTCAAAATTTTCACTGAGGCTTCAGTGTTGCTGTGTGCTGGCTCACTTTGCAGCAGAGTGCTCAAATTGGCCTTTGAGCTAGAAACTGCAACATAGTTAGTGACTAATTTGATTCTTAATGTGGGTAGGTAAGCCCTTAAGTATTACCGGTTCTACTGTGAGCTACCGCTTCTGAGTCAAGAGTGGCACTTGCTAAGACCTGTAATTTCAATAGGGTTTTGTTTCCCTTGTGAAAGCAAAGACAGCTGTTCCTGGCTTCATTCACTTTAAATTTGAGCTTGCTTTGGCGATCTGCCACTGCCATTCAAAGCTGGGCATGGGTGGGATGCATCTGTTCTGATGCCAAGGGTGCAAGTTCTAGTACTCATAAATGCTCGTGCCTTGTTTGCATGATGAAATTTCAGCATCCAGCTGACAAAGTTGCATGCAGACCAGATGTGCTTGGAGGACAGCTTCCATTTGTCTATCGCAGGCTTCCCGTGATGCTCCGCTATAGCTGTTTTTCTAAAATGCAGTGAGATCAGAAGAAAAGATGCATTGGTTGACATAAATGTGCTCATTTATTACTCTCAACTATAGGTTAAATGTCTGTAGAGTACTTTGAAAATGTATTGTCAAATTATACTTACTATTTTTTTGTAAATTTTTTTAAGATATGTATAAAAGGAAAAAATCACATATTTAAATACCTGAACATAGAAGCGTGCAAGATAGCTCCAGACTTGCCCGATTATGATAGGAGACCCATGGGATTTGGATCTTGGTAAGTTTGGCACAATCCAAGTTCCTACTTTTGATGACATTCAGGAAAAATTTGTCAATCTTGTGTTTTTAAAAAAAAAAACAAACAGATCCAAGGATTGTTCTTTGGTACGTTCATTGACGGAGGTGGCTTTGAAGAGTATGATTTCTGTTATCTCGGTGCATTCTAGCAAGGTACCACTATATAAGAAGGGGGGAGCAGTTCAGAAGAAAACCTGCGCAGTACTGTATGAAAAGCAGTGTTAGAGTTGATCTACAGTGAGAAGGGAGTGTTGATGTCTTCATAGTACAGGGGCGTGTTCTCATGTTGATACCATGTGTGTTCAGTTTATAAGATCTTAATATTTTCCACATACTTACTGAAGTATATCCCTGCTGTGATTTTTAATGTTTTGTACAGAATTTTATAACTGCTGTGCTCAAACCGCAGGTGTAAATGCTGATCTCCACCCCATTAGTAAACTGTTGTTCTTGGCAAACGTTCACTTGGCCACTGTTGCTTAGCGTTGTAACACAAATATTGGAACAGTCAGCCGTATCAGCTGCTAAATTAAGATGTCTAGAGAAAAGCAGGAGTTAAGATTTATTTCTGTTACATGATATAGAAGAAAAGGAGTCAGTGAAGTATGAAACTAAATATAAAAAAAGAAAATATCTCAGTCATCTTGGAAGGTGGTGATAAGGTGTGGAGGAGTAATGCTAAAGGACGTACAGCTGTCTTAGCGGCAATAAAACACGAATCGGAGGGCCTCACAATAAATCATCATGAGTCAGGTTTGTGAAGAAGAATTTGCATAAGGGACTGAGTGATTCCTCATCAGCGCTGAGTGTCTTAAATTATTTTTCTAGATGAGATCAACATATGAGCATATTATGAGTGTTACTCAGTTTCCTAGAGTGTAAGTTGTTACAGACAGTTTCTGCATAATACTGTCACTGAAAAGAAAAGGCTCTAAATGATAAAATGTCATGATCTTTATCTCTAGCATGGTTTGAAATTCCAACAAAATCAATGGGCTTTGTGCTTACTGATTTATTGTTGTCTCTAGTTGTATATTACTATGGAAGTTTTCATTAATTGTTTTTGTGAAATGAGAAGATATTTTAATCGTAGCTTGGAATTACGAATGTAAAAACAAGTGCAGAACTGGTTGAGGACGCTTTCTCTAGAGTTGCTTCCACATTCAGCCATATGAAATGAGCTTCAGCTGGCTTTCCGTTAGCTGTATTTCCATCCCCAAGAGGAGATAAAAGTTGGTGATAGAATTATTTGTTGTTCCTGTGCTATTTAGGGCATTTAGTGTTGCAGGTGATTCCTCCTGTCTTCATGTACCTGTGGAAGAATTGTCCATGGATCAGAGAACATATTAGGAGAAAATGGTAGAATGATTCAGTGGAAGAGAGGATCCTGAGTTGTTATATTCTTCTGGAACTTGGGATAACAGAAATAAACTCATTCAACTACAATATAGTTAATATTTCCAGGCAAGTCACAAGAGCTTTATGATTGTTACCTTGAAAGGTGACCAGTAGAAATAAGGTGCCAGTCAGTACACCTGGACTTCATTGCTGTTTTATCCAGTAAGCTAGGTGAAATACCCTGGGGGTTAAGAATGGAAACTGAGTAGCAGAGACTTTTGAAGTTCAAGGAATTTTGAGTTGTGCTGTCAGTTCACTCTTATCAATCACTTCTTAATAACAGAGTCATTAATACTGCTAATAAAACAAGATACTCTGAAACATTATGGCAGAAAGTGTGGTTTGGAGGTTCTAGTGCAGCTAATTATTTGTTTTAGCCTTGTCAAATTATATCAAATACCAAACTGTCTTACCAAAGTGAGATCTTGTATGTTACAGTCCTTTTCTAAACATAAGCTATGTGAAATTTATCTTACAGCAAGTTTTGATCTGCTGCAGCCAGTCTCTTATTTGCAACACTGATGTTCAGAGCAGCTGAGGCTGGTGCTGGAGTGAATGTGATTCAGAGGAGGCAGAACTGTCGAAGCTGGGTAGCAATTCTTTTGGCCCTGAGGCAGACTGGTATAGTCTGGAGTTAGAAGGATTAAATTATGAAGGACTCATGCATGAACCGGTGTAGTGGATATTCTGGAGCCTGGGCAACTGTTCTTTCTTACAGGAGGTAAAAATATGTGTTTTAGTGTGGCTTTGGAGCTGCATCTTTGAAATGTTGGCAAGTATTGTCTTTCCATTGGCTGTTGGCCTTACCAGGCGTTCAGCTTCTCATTCTTTGATTTCAAGCCTTACGTAGCTTCCTGGGTAAGTTGTAGTTGCCCCAAAATCCTCTGATCTATCCAAATGCTTAATTGTTAGTCCTTGTAGCTTGTTGGCCAGGAAGGAATAAAAATCTTAAGTCTCAGCTGATTTCAGGATGGCCGTTGCATGATTATAAACGTGTAAAGCGTGCAGCCTGGAACAGCTGGTTTTAGATGTGAGAGTTGGGGAGACAGAAAGCAGCTTTCACGTTAAAAAGAAGAGTCCTAGGAGCAGTGATTGTGAATTTTTGAGCTTGCAGATAACCTTAGTGTTAGATGTATAGCTTTTCAAAATCTCTAATTGAGAAGGAAGGCTAAAAGAAGAAAATCTGTATCAAAATACTTCTCCATTTTTGAGATACAGCCATATAGTCATTTTGATGCTCTTCAATTTGCAGTAATTGTTCAACTTACAACAGGGTTCTCAGGAGATTCTGAAAATACTGATGCACTTAAAATGGAATTATACTGCAGATGGATTTTTCTTTTCTCTTTGTTTTAAATCCAGTATTTAAGTCCTGTGAACTGTTAGTGTGAGTATGGTTCTGTTGTCAGTGATTTGAGTTAATAGTACTGTAACTGCACTGGGCAATTGCATGGTCATTCTTTTTTCTTCTCCACCCAAAAGGAGGGAGTTGTTTTTTCTTTCCCCTTTTTTCTTTTTAGGGTTTTAGTTTGCAGATGATCTTTTTGTTCGAATACAGGGCCATAAAGGTGGAACTCTTTTGAGTTAATCAAAACGCCATGCAAATACAAGAGCTTGTCTTCTGTTGTACATCTGCATAGAAGCATATGTATAGCCTAACATTCCTCATCTGTAGCACTCCATCTCTCCTCTTACTTTTTTGCTGGTTTATGTCTCTCTGAAAATTTAAATAGCCCAGGATAATAGTCTGTCAGTGTTCTACGAAATCCCATGCATGCATATGGTGCTGCATGAATAATGATGATAAATTAAAATGAGTAATTTGAAAATAAGTAGTTCCTAAAAGAGGGATTTCAGAGGGAGCAACAACTTGAGAGCAATACCAGTGAGCAAGTGACCTGCAATTTAGTTATGATGGGGTGAAGCAATTAGCTTTGTGAAATTCGTTCTTCCTTGTGTATTATGTAGTAATTACTGCTGCAGTTCTCCCTGGGGCATCGAGTGCCAGTAGGACAGTTGAGCCATTGTGAAATGCCATCTGCAGTGGATCAGACAAGTCCCATTGTCTCTTTTACTGGAGCTATCTGCAGCAGTTGCCAGACTTGACATCTGTGATGGCTGTACTGCTGAATTACGTAGTTTCTAAGCCCAGAAATTTTAGAGCAGAACTGTATAACTGTTTGGTTATATGTATTGTAACACTAGGCACATGTCTAATGCCTTTGTCTAGACATGTCATTGGCAAAATCAGGCTCTGTAGATGAAAACTGTGCTTCTACTTTTATTATTTTGAGAAGTATTTGAAATACTGTCCAGCTTACTGCAGTTTCTTAGGTAAGTAATTATGATACAGAAGGTAGTTATGTAATACATCCTGCATACTTTTCTGTAGAAGTAGCACATTCTGTATTTTTAGCACTTTTGCAGGGGTTTATACTTACGTATGAAAAAGTTTGTGGGACAGTGGTTTTCAATCAAAATGTATGAGTAGCGGAAAAGGAAAGTTTGTCTTGTTAAACAGTGAAATAAGAGACCGCTTTGCAGTTTGTCATAATTTCTGCTTGGGAAATGTTTGAAGCATGGATATAGACTTTGGATTAGATTAGCTCTTAAAATGCTAGGGTGGTGGATGGACAGCTGACTGACAAGTATGGAGTTGTAAGCGTGTGTCTCTTGTTCTACGTGGCAAATGCAGAGCGATGCCTTCTAATACACTGAGCTTGTGAACATGCTGCAACTGTGCTTGGTGGCTTATTCTGCTTTTATCTCTAATAGCTGGGAAGTTTTTGGTGGTGTTTATATTACAGTAACTAAAACTGTGTATTTGACAGCCATGAGGAGCTCTATTCCGGTCGTCCATATGGAGCACTTGATTCTGGCTTCAACAGTGTGGACAGCGGAGACAAAAGATGGTCAGGGAATGAAGTAAGTGTTGCAGCTTTATTTTTGTTGGGTGCAGTATTGTACAGGAAAGAGGACTAATAAGTCTCCTCCTGGAAGCATATTCAATAGGTAACTTGTCTATGCTAGTATGCAAGTTGCCTTGAGCCAAAATTACTTTTGTTTTATGGGAGAAAAACAAGCATAATTTTATATGGGATGGACACAAAGTTTGAGGTGTAACAGAAATGTATAAAACAGTGCATGATGGATTAATTTACTGGAGCATAAAAGATGACAAAAAATGAGGTTCCTAATTTTAAAAAAAGCTTGTGACTGTATCATATTACAACGTTGAGTCAACTGCAATTACTCATGAGTACTTGTTTCAATAAAATAAACCTAAACGTGAAAATTAAGCTTCAAAAATCAGATGGAAGTTTTGTGTTCTTTCTTTGCAACTTGTTTCAAATGTTAAATCTGTTTGCCATTTAGAAGCAGGAAAATGGGATCTCTTAGCAAGGAGTCTGTCACTTATTTTTCCCAGGAGGAAGCTCCCTTTTCCTCTTGGGAAAACACAGTAGCCAAGACTTGAAGTGTTTCAGTGAGCTATACTCTGTACACCTGCTTGCACTCCTGGCTTTGTTTTTGAGAAGTTTCTAGGAGTTTCCATCCTGGGATGTTTTAAAGCACTTGCAGATAGTGCAAACAAAACTGTAGGCAATATGGTCTTTTTAAGAAAGCTTAAATATATGGTTTTTTCAAAACAATACACTGTAGCTGTATTTCACTTTATGTTAGTGTTTTGTAGGTGCAAAACAGGACAGTTGAAGTAAAAACACAAATCAAGAGGTTATAGCTTACATGATGATATTTCTAAATAAAAGTGTTTGTTCACTTTGCTGTTTGTTTTCTAAAGCCGACAGATGAGTTCTCAGATCTCCCGTTACGTGTGGCAGAGATCACTAAAGAGCAGAGACTGCGAAGAGAAAGTCAGTATCAGGAAAACCGAGGGAGCGCAGTCGTAACTAATGGTGGAGGTAAATAGTGATCTTTGGCTAACAATATTTATTCTCATCATTATTAAAGTTCCAGAATATTTGCTATAAATAGTAGGTTGACTAAAGAGGAAAAAAAGGGGAAGATCTAGGTGGAATTATTCAAAAACACAGTTGTGTGAACAGTGTAAAAACGCTGTTGTATTAAGAATGTTACAAGGCAAAATCCAGTAGCATCAGAATCCAGATTATCTGGGAAACATATTTCAGCTTCTGTATATGTCCTATGTTGAAGTCTCCAACTGTTTCAAACAGTATTTTGGAATCTTGAATTTCAGTGCGTGGAGTTGCACTGCTTGAGCTACTGGGGAAAATTTACAGCAGTAGTAAATTGTCAGTGCTCTGTGCCAACTGCTGTCGGAACAGGATGAGCAATTTTGTCAGGGAATTTCATATTTCCAAGTAGCAAAAGTGCCTTGTTCAGCAGTCTTGGGTTTTAATCCAAATGTGTAAGACATTTAGGAGGGACTGGTCCTTGTGAGCGACATTGCTTTTTTGCACCTTCTCAACTGGTTGTCCTGCAGCCTTGCAGTAGCACCCTCATACTTGTTCAAGAGGTTGCAGCGCATTCCATGTTTCCTGATCTCTGCAGTCTTTCTCCACCTTAACTTCCAAAAATCTGCTGCTACTATTGTCTCTCTTTGTTTATATGTCCCAATGTTAGCATTCTTCCAGGTTTGTTTTTTTCAGTCATTCCCTCTTCTCCGCTTTTCTGCACTACTTGTTGTTAGATCTCATCTGTGTCTACTTTGATTAATTTTTCATCTTTCTCAGCTACTCCGTTTTCCTTTTCCCCAAATGGCTCCAATTCTTATCCCCCGAGTGTCGCTCTTCCCAACTACTTTTAATCTTCTGTGCCTAACTCCCACTTTTTCTTCTCTCTTCCCTCTACTTCCCCCTCTTCATCTTTTCCCATCTTCTTTTCTTGGTCTTACTCTTGTCTGCCACAATATTTTGTTTTCTTTGCCACCTTCTAGAAATATGTGAAACTTTTTGGTTGACTTACGCTCTTTTACACGTTAACGGACAAAAAATTCAGTTCAAACAGTTAAATTTTGGCTAAGTAGAAGAATTGAAGACATAGTGTCATGGGAAGCTCTGAGCAGCCTTAATAACAGGCAGTGCTGCCAGCTCCACCTCCAAGACTAACTTTATTTTGTTCTTTGGATTTTTGTACACCAAGGTTTTCGAAATGCCTCACTAGTCTTTTAAGATGGAGCATGGTCAGTTCATGAGTAGGAGGATCTGAGAGGGGCACAAGCCATAGCACAGGGCTGTTGGTGATCCAGGAGATCCTTTCCAATTTTCTGTTCCAAACACAGATACTAATGTCTTTCACCTTCTACTGTGGTGTTGTTGTTATTTAAGTTTAATAAGCAAGGCTGGAAAGAAGGGGAGGTTTGGTTTGGTGGAGTTTTTTTAAGATTTGAAACTGAGGAGATTTAAGCCAAAGTACATAGGAATGCTGTTTTGGATGGTTGTAGTAGCAGAGGAGGTGGCTTTGGCAGTAACAGTTGCTAGATTGTGTGGTGAGGCAAAGAGAAGTCTGTTTGAGACAAGCAGGAAAGGGGCGGGGGAGTAGAAAAAGAATGTCTGCAAGAGAGTCTGGAGCAAGTTTGAGGAGAGTTTTAAGAAAAAGAAAGTTCTAGTGCTCAGAAAGGGACCTTATTGCTTTTCCCTGCATCCCCAGCACAGTATTTTTCCCCACGGTAGTTTGCTCAATGTCATGACTCTCAGAATCGCTGGGCAGAATGTGTAAAAGCAGTGACAAGTGAAAAAATTGCCCTACATAATACTGCCCACACAAGGCAAAATCGATACTAGCCAAACTGTGCTTTTCCTCCTCTCATTGCACTGGTTCGTAATTTCTTTTTTTCATTCCTCTTTTTAAAATAGAACTACGGATGCATTTATATTGTTTAGAGGGTTTTGTTGCTTTCTGTATTATCCTTTGTTACTTCCATGTACGCTTTTTATATTTATTGCATTTGCATCCACATAACTTAGACATGCTGCCCTCTGTTTTGTTGTTGTAGCAGTAAAAATAATATCTGTCATATCCGTTCTAATTTTTCCAACAGATGATTTAGAACCAAGAGAAATTATTCAAAATGTCCACAAATCATTGTACAGTCTTGGCGCTAGCGGACAGATTTTGATAGATAGTTTTCGGTATTGAAAAAAATCACACTATTTACTTGTTCAGTCACTGCAAAACTATCTGCAGCCAGCAATATAAAACTACATTCCTGATAACATGTTTCTCGTTGCTTTTTAAAAAGCATGAACTTTATCATTATTTCAAAATTTGAAGTTTAACAAATGTTAGTGGGCCTGGCAAAATCCAAGAGCTTTTAGGCTGAGTTTTCCCAGATGAAAGAAAAATTGTGGGGCCTTAGTTCCTGACATTGCTTTTTTGTTGTTTTTTTTCCTCTCCTGTTGGTTATCTAATTATGGTTGTCTTCTCTGTGTATGTATGTCAAGTGGAACATGATCTTGATCAGATCGACTACATTGATAGCTGTGCCACAGAAGAGGAGGAGGAAGAGGTGAGGCAACCGAAGTGCATGGACTCAGACAGCCTCAGCTCACAATTCATGGCGTATATTGACCAGCGGCGAATCTCTAATGAGGTGGTGCTTTTACTTAAATTAATTAAATTCATACACCCCAGGAAAGCCTTTGTGATGGTAGTGATGCTTCTTGTCCTCAGAGGTTTTCTTTCGGTTTTTCTAATTTAAAAAAAAAGGTCTGATCTGGGGGAAGAGCACAGTGTTGTTCTTTGTGGAGAGTCAGAGCTGGAGCATTAAGCTGCTCCCAAGTGCCCTTTGGGATAGGCGGAATAAGTCTAAAGCAGCCACACTGTTTTCCTGTCATGTGGGTTCTTGCAAGCCTGTGCTCTAGGCATATGTGAACTAAATGGTTTTTCCAAAGGACGGCTGTCTTCAAAAAACATTGAAATTGATGTTTCTCACCAGTAATTGGTGATATATAGAAAATTGTTAACGTTTACTGGCTTTCTCAAGGGAAAAATGTTGACTGTTATCAGTGTAAAGATTTCATACGGGAATTCTGCAACTCCATTAATTTGGCTGTTCATGTTGATTATAAGTTATTTGCCAGTAAACTCAACGTCTTGAGCATCTACTGTAACTTTAGACTAACTTAAATGTTCAGACTTTTCAGAAAGCCTGCTCTTTGCAGAGAACAATTTCTTACTGTTGAGCAAGGCTCTGAACCCACAAGTACAGACTTGGATACGTATATAGTCACCTTTCTGAACAAAAAACACAGTATCTGTGGTTTCAGATAAACCTGGCATGAAACTGTTCTCAGTCGGTAACAGTATGCAGTTGAATGAACAGTAAGTAAAATTGTTGCTAGACAGGTTAGAAAGTTCTCCTGACGTCTCTTTACAGATGTCTAGAAACGGGTGTGAGTAACTCTGTATATTACCCTGTGTTCTCTCACAGAAAAAAGGGAAATAAAGAGAAGCAAATTTAGCATATACTGTCCTGGTAGCAGCTGCTTTTATTGATTGCTTCCTATATCCTAATGATGTCCTGGTGCAGACAAGGGCAACGATTCCAGTAAAGTTACTGTCACTTTTCTTTAGCACATGTCATTTCATTGCTTTCTAGCTGTGCAAGAATTAGTGTGCACTTTAATAAAATTCAGTAGAGTTGCTTTGAAACTGTATGGATTGCCAAAACTGGAAGGTGCCTTTGTTCCAGTTGTAGCAGCCACCGCTGTGAACACGTGGAGAAAACTGTTCCCTGTTAAGTCATTTGGGTGCTACACTTTTGGAGAGTGTCCTCAGAAATAATCCAGATTTTCAGCTACATAATGTTTCCTTCTGTGTGTTCTGTCAGTCTTAATTAATACCTGTGTACACAGCTACGCAGTTCACTGTCTCACTGCACATACTGCATGAGAAAATCTTTGTGGTTGATAAGCTTAAAGAGTACCTATTGTGCTGCAATTCAAACGTGTCCTTTCAAAGTTTAGTGTGTTTTGAAGCAGAAATGTATTTGTTCTTTGAAGAAAGAAAGGAAATTTAAAAAGTGGATCTTTAGTATTCGTGTAGGAGTCTGGTCCCCATTTTGTCCACTTTGTTACTGTTTACTGTGTTAAAATCAGTGACACGGATATGAGAGGTGCATTCATTTTGCAAATCTCATAAATTCAATATCAGGTCACAAAAACTGATGCCACTTGAAGCATAGACACAAGAGCAGAAGTCAGAAAAGGAGACTCTTGGCAATACAACCTAAGGACTCTTTGCTGTAGGTGGTGAAACGGCGTTGATCAACATCAAAAAAAGCTGTTCGTAGGGATCTATCTATTCATAAAAATGAAACTGTTTACTTTTACCTGAAACAGTAGTTTTTCTAAAAAGACAATCCAAAATACGGTACTGCTTAGGAAAGCTAACTGGATGCAATATGGCCACATGCATATAGGCACGAGTGAAAATTGACAAGTTAATCTTGAAAAGTCTCCGTTTTCCTACATTAATGGGTGTCAGTAAAAGTTTTAAAATAACGCCAAGGGCAATATGTTTTCTTGTTCTCTGTTCCCAATGGAATAAATGATTTCATAGCTCAAATTAAGCCTGAGGTGTTTTCATTCATCCCCTATTTTGCTTTCTTAGTCCCTCTCTGACTTGTCTTTAGGTCATCATAAAAGACCATCAGCTATTGTATCACATATTTCTGAGAATCCAGACTGCATTGCTGTACACTGGTATATACATTGTATATACATTCTTCAGAGCTTAACTAATTTCTTCTAACTGACATAAATTATTTTCTACCTACGTGTACATCTCTGTGCGATTCTTAATAGCAGAGGTTTTTAAACTGTTAAATTTATCAGTAGGCATATTTAATCTTGAAACTAAAGTTTATTTAAATTGGAGGAAAAAAATAAAAGGGAGTTTACCTAGTTGGAAATTAACATCCCCGAGTTGTGTTTTGTGGCTCTTTATCAGGTATTTTGAATACCAGTAGTTAGAAATGCTGGTCTACAAAGAGATTATTTGACATTAATGTGTAGTTTTCTGAATAAGTTGCTAACTTAGTCTTCTGTGTTACTTTGCTTAGGGCTCACCAGTAAAGCCTGTATCCATCAGAGAATTTCAGAGAACAGAGGATACAAGACGATATTTGCATCAAAACAGGTAAGAATATGTCGTAAGAGTAATATTATCCAGAGTTTCATGATGAATGCAGAGTTGTGTATTTACTGAATGTATTTAGAAAATGGCATTGTTTTCTGTTGCTTCACCAGAAACGTGGATGGCACTTTAGTTATACATTATTGCTCCAGACTAGGAATTTCTATTCTAATAATGGCAATGGCCAGTGCCTAGTTAAAAGAACAGAAGATAACCAAGCGAATGGCTTCTTACTAATGGAACTAAAATCAAAATTGGTAGAACCTTTAATATGCCATTGAAGCATTTCAGTATTCTGTGGAGTGAAAGTGAATGTGCAAAAAAAAAAAAAAGATAACTGCTAGCTGTACATCATTACTTATGCTGTCAGTAGAAATTAATTTTTAATGGCATTCTAAAATGGTATTGAAAGAGAAAATGAAACAGTGTGTAAATTTTTTCCAGAGTTTTAACAACATTTTAATAGGCATTTTGAAATGTACAGTGAATGTGCTGATAGAGTAGCTGTACTGATATAAAGGAGGGTAACTCCTTCAGCATATGTCCACTTTCCTTATCCTGTAGCATCTACAGGTAAGGCATAAAATAATATAGCAGCCTGATGTGTTCTCCCCAAATAAAGTGAGTCCTCTTGGTTTGAAAGACTGATTTTTTATTATTATTTTTTATTTTTATTTGAACATTTGTGATCAACATGGAAATAATTAGACTTCACAGACACTGGATTCCATGACATATCTGAAGGAAATAAGAGAAGGCTAGTTAGCCAGGAGAGAGCTTCCGTTCACAGAGGCAGATTTTAATGATAAAGGAAATTGTAGCTCACTAGGGTATCCAGTGTTTTCAAAATGTAACTCAAGGATGGCAGCAGATCTTCGTGCAGAAGTAGTTAATCAATGATCTAAATTAATTGTATCTTATTCATATTACGCTGCAGTAGAGTGAAATTCTTAAATGAGGCACTAAAAACGGGTCATTGTTATTGTGTAAAAACAGCCATATGACAATGAGTAATTTTTTTGTATTTTAAGCTTGTATTAGTCAAATATTTCATTTGTGCAACCACAAGCTGTAAACTGCTTCCACAGTAATTCTGTGCAAATGCCTTGGCAGGCAGCCTTTGTTTTTTTTTTTTCTTCAGCATGCTGGAGCCATTAAAACTCTTAGAGCTGGATGTAATGCAGACTTCATCTCGAGAGTACTTACATTAGTTGATTCAGTTCAGTAAATACAGGTTGTGCCTCTGGACAGGCTGTGGTGCATTCCTGATGCAGCAAAGCTGTGTGTACTCTGGCCTGAATAAGCTTCTTGGCACTCGGTTGAACCCAGTCCTGTCCGTTCAAAACACCACAGTAATGGATCTGTCGTGTGCATCAGTGCTAATTTAAGTAACAGAGGAGACCTGTAGCACATGGGTCTTCCATATCTCTTAAGCTTCTCCGTGCAGAATAGGTAATAAGTCTACACACAGGCAGCAGGACTGACATTTTTTGGAAATGCGTTGGTAAGTGTGTCTCTCTTCCTTAGTTGCCCCAGGAGCAAAGGCTGCAGAGTCTAGGCTGTCAAGAGCAAGCTACTCAATTTCCATCAGCTTGCTTTCTAGGCAGCAACATGGCAGGGAACACGCTGTAAACTGTGGACCTTGGGAATTGTTTCAGTGCTAGCAGCTGCCTTCTGGCAAAGAATGGACTGCAAAATTTCTCTTTTATTGTTGGTTCAATGGATAGGAGACAGATTAGTTATTGTTTACCTTGTGACTTCATGGCTTCTATCACTGACAGGAAGCCATCAGTTGATTGGTGAAGTGAGCAGATTGGTTCTGAAAATATCAGAGGGTGCTAATGTTCAGAAATAATTCTGTTCTTTCCAGAGCAGAGTAAGGCCTACAGCAATCAGAATGTAGTCTTAAAAGAGAGATTCCATCTTGTTATATTTTGAAATCATTGTTAATTAAGCAAGTTATGTTTATTTAAGTATGAACTGCAGTAGTTGTGGTCTGACTTGGTATCGCAATGTGATTTCTTTTAGTCATCCTAAATTTCACCTTTCTGGTTATCTGAAGCTAATTGTATGGGCAATTACTCTTAAAAAAACCAGCTGTAATCTAGAGACGAATTCATCTGACAGTAGTTTATATGCATTAGTGGCCAATCCCCCTTCCACCTGGTGTTTACCTGCAGGGATACTGATGAATTACGAAGACCAGAAACTCTAAATTTGATGCAGGACAGAGAGCATCACCAAGTACTAAGGAGTTATGTGGACAGGACAGAGAGGTAGGGAAAAGAAACATATCGTTTCTACTGATACTAATTTTATTTCCATCCCACCCCCAAATAACCATAGTAGCCAGCTGTTCCTCTAAATGAAGATCATCTGAAAAGTTCCAGGATTGGATACTTAACGAGCTCTTAGAGAATGGGTATAAAGTACTGTTTATCTCAATGTAATAGGCCAAATGTGCAATCCCATTGGTACCTCTTGAGCTGTAGAGAAATTTTATCACAATTCAGCAGAAGAAATAAAAATGACTGCACAAAACTTGTCATGCATAATGAGTTAAATGGTTATCACAGCGGTTGGTTTAACAGCTTTGCTTACTAAACAGTTACTCTTCTGATTTGATGTGACAGTTGTGTGTCACTGACAACTCATGTATGAAAATTCATTTATATTTAAAATAAAAAGTATACTTACTCTCTGTTTTTCCATTTGTCAGACCCCCGGCTGATTCACCCTACTTTCTCTCTCTATCAAGTCCCCACAGCCAGGTAACACGCTGAACTCTGCTATTTTATTCTTTTGGATGAGTTTGATGCAAAACCAAACTGATCTTAGCCATAAGACATGGACTGTTTCTCCATAACCCATCTGTGTCACCCTGTGCAGCTCTGTCCTTACAGCCTGGGTCGCTGTTTTGTTTCAGGTGCCTAATACAGAGCCAGAGCTGCACCGCAGGCACATAGAGCGTACCCGCCGGGAGGCCCAGCTAGCAGCACTTCAGTACGAGGAGGAGAGGATGAGAACAAAACAGATTCAGAGAGAAGCTGTCCTTGACTTTGTTAAGGTACCTCCTTTTAGTACCTACTTGATACTTTGTCTTTTCTGACTCCCTTAATAACAATTAATTGCCAAGGTCATTGATACTTGTACGTTATGCTCTGGGGTATGCGTGGCACTTTGTAAAGAAAATGGAGAAAAAGCATTTAAATACATTCATATTGGTGCTGTAGCTTAGCATAGACAAAACTGGAACTGAGGAGGAAGACAGAAGAGATTTACCCAATATATGATTGTTGCAAAGAATTCTGTCCTTACAAAGTCCACCTCGTTCTCTCAATTTTTCGTTTGCATGGATGTGACAGGATTGGTATAGGAAAGAAGGGGTCTTTATTTGAGAAGGTGTAGAAGCAATTTAAATTTGAAGACAAATTTTGCAGAGAAGAAACCAGTTGTACACACAAGATGATAATGTTGCCTGATCTATTTTGGTATTTTATGGTGCGTGAATAAGTTACCTCCAGGTAAAGTATGGCTGCAAATTTATGGTACATCAGATACTTCGTGGACACTGCCTTCGCTTTCTCTTCCACTGCAGTCACTATGAAGTAGTCTGCTGCTTAACATGCAAACTTGTTTGTGTGCTGGTTGACTTAAATTTATTTTACTGTTTACTGCTCTGGTGAGCTACCCAAGTCTTGTCATCACAAATTTAAGAAATGTTACGGTTAATATTTTGGGCTTAGGGTGGTTTGCAAAGAGGAAAAGAATGTTTTATTGCATTTATGCAATGTATAAAGTTAGTTTAGAAAAAGGTTTTTAGCTGCCTGAAACTAGGCTTCTCATTAGCACCAGCTAATCTCAGGCCTCTGGCAGTGTTTTGTAGAAAAGCTGCATTTATTAAAGATTCGGCTCAGTCTTTCAATTAAAGGCTTTAGATATTTAGGATGCATTTTGTTCATTGATGAGCCTTTTGGGGTTTTCAGTTTTGGTGGTTTTTTTTCTTCTGTTGCCTTTGTTATTCATGAGCACTTTATTCTCAGCAATTAAATTCCTCCCTTGGGTTGTATTTTGGGTTTATTATGCATCTTTAATAGGCAAAAACCATTTGGGGTTTTTTGTTTTGTATGGAATAAGGGCGGGTTTTTTACTAATAATATCAGTGAAGTTTCAGCTCAGTGGAAGCTTGACATTTCCCCAATGCTTTTTTTTATTTAAAAACTAGGACTTCTTGTGTTTTAAAACAGTTATGAATTAAGCTGGTTTGTTCTGAGCTTTGGTTTCTCTGTTACATTCCTTTAAACTGGTTTTTCATTTTTCCCTTTTTCTATAGCAAAAAGCGTCCTTAAGTCCTCAGAAGCAAAGCCCTCTGGATAGTGAGGTAAGAGTCCAATAAGAGTATTACTGGGGTTGTCAGCACCTGAGTTCTTAGCTCTCTCCATCAGAGATATTTTCCTAATTGTGGAGAACTCTCCAGGACTGGGTTATAGCATAGTTTTTTCACACTTATTTTTAAGCCTTGCATTGGGTTTTGTTTTGCTTATGAGACCAGTCTGATATTTCCTCCCATTCGTGTAGATTGCCTGTCCGAGTATGGTGTTTTACTGTTTCTTTTATGTTTTCTGTGTTGTATACAGAAAACACATTTCGTGTTCCATTTTAAGCCTCCTTGCGAGCAGTACAGTTTACTTTCCAACAGAAGTATTCAGATAAGTTACTGTGCTCTAGTCATCCTCCATTGATCAGTTTTCTCCCAGTTTCCTATTGTTAAATCGCTAGTTATCCCAGAAAGATTAAGCATTACAATTTTGAGGGCTATCAGAAAAAGAAATAAATAAATTTTTAAAAAGTTTTATTCTAGTGTAGTTTTATAATCAAAACCTGAAAGTCAGTAGGAAACACAAATCATACAGGGCTCAGTCTTCTAGAACATATAGAGTTGAGCCAATGACATCTGTTCACTCTCTGCATCCGATTTCTGCATAGTAATAGCTCTTCCACTGCTTGCCATCCCCACTTTCCTCCAGAGGAAGATAATTCACTTGGCAGTATTAATCAGATCAAAACTTTCAGTAATATAATGAATATAAATAGTTCTTTAGCAGCATTTTCCAACTAACTCTTTTTTTGTTAGAGGATTGGTGAAACATGGGGTAATTGAAATAGTTTTTGCTCCTTTTCCTTCTTACTGTTCTTCTGTTCTTAATTTATTCTTTTAAAGGGTCCTTTGTTCTACCACAGTAAGAACTGTGAATACATAGTTGTCTGTATTTGCTTGAGACAACACAGAAAGCAGAATAATTGATTCCTTAAGTAATATGAATATGCTATAATTCATGGGTCATGTGGCTGTGTATTCATACAGAGTTACACATACTTTATGGATTTTTTTAAAAAAGCCTCACAATGCTATAAACAAGTAGTACGTGTTCCAAAATGTCTGTCTGTTCATGTGTGTTGCTGCCATTCTGTGTGTTTCTGACATTACTGCATCTCTCCCACCTCCCAGTGTCCCTTTCCATCCAGAAGGTCTCAGCATACTGATGATAGTGCCTTGTTAGTGGTAAGATCCTGCACGTAATGGCCTTGTTATGTGGCAGATTCTAGAGCATAGAAATAACAACATGTTATGATTGTCTCAGATTAGACCAACTGTTGTAGAGCTAATCTAAATAGCATAAAACATGACCATCTTCTTTGAAAAGTAGCTTAGCTGTGAACTGCAATATTATGAATATGTTGATACTGGTACTGTCAGCCATTTGTTAATAATATAGTGGTGGTTTTCCACAAAATAATTAAAGCTCATCTTTTGCTGAGAGCAGAAGAAAATTACTGATGGTGAAGAACAGCTTCTAAAATTAAAAATCCACCTCTAGTTGTTCTGGTTTGATTTCTTCTCCATTTGGCTTGCTTCCTAACTGATGTGCTCTTCAGTGTCAAGTAAGCAATTTTAATGCTTTGAGTACAGCCTTCAACTTGTCTGTGTCCTGCACATGGTGATTAGAAACACTTAGTATCTTGGTAACCGTATCATAGCACAGGGAAAACTGTTCTACATGTGAATGCTGCAAATCATGCAATATTCTTCATACGTTTTTATGGTTTATCGATGAAGATGTCTTAGAAATAATCTGTTTTGAACACTTAGCAGAAATAAAAACATTTCTGTGCTTAATTCATGTTTTATGCTATTTCTTCCTTCGTGATGTAGTATAATTAAAGAATATAATTAATGCCATAATCTATGTCGATAAAAGAAAAAATACACCTGGTTTGCCTGCTGTTGCATGACTGCATGCCTGGGATTTATTTTCTTAATTCACGTTCTTCTGTTATCTGCCTAAATTTTCTTTAGGCAGTGCTCTTGGTTAGAATATCTCCCTCCAGAACATATTGGTCAGGAGACTTACTGTCTCTTTATGCAGAGTTTTTGGTTTTCCAGCTTTCATATGACTAGCACTGTGTGGGAGAAAAAGAAAGCTTGTAATACTACAGAGAGATTTAGTGATGATCATGCATGTGCCTGTTTAGAGAAATCACAATCAGCATATAAAAATGTTTCTTATTATCTAAATACGAAAACACAGGAGAATAGCAGTGGTTTGGGTTAAGTGTTGATACTCTTTGTCAGCGAATTAATCTTTGGAATGTTTTTAAAGATACCTGTAAGGACCCCATTTCTTTTTGATGGTGTGACCCCGCGACTTTTGTTGTACATTAATATATAGAATTTTACATTACATGACTTGGAATTTTCAGAAATTATTTTGAAATTGGCTTCCATTGCTGTTTGTTTGTTTCCTTTGTAACCAAGTCACACCCTTGCACTTCACAAAAAGCAGACAGGCTGGTAGGAAGAGATTGAACTAGATTTGAAAGCAATCATTTCTCTGTTCGTTTTTCTTTTGATTCCTTGCTTTTTTCAGCAGCACTAAACTGTGCTGAAGTGCTGGGTTTTCTGAATTGCTGAAGTATGATCTGCAGCTCTGTTTTGTAGTGGAAATACACACTGTGTCTAATGATGACATATGCCAGGGCAGCTGTTTCTGGCAATTATTGTAAGCCCATGCTAGCTCATGAATTTGTAGCATTTTTGTTTCCACAAATGTGTTGGGTATGGTAAAAACTTGTTCAACAACAGGGAAATGTTCATTAGTTTGCTTTAAAAAAAAAAAAAAAAAAAGTCTGTCCTGAGGGTTGAAATAGCTTTTACCTTTTTAGATTCTGTTGCATTTCATGTGACATTTTTGCTGTTCTTAAGGATCTGAAATTTAGCTAGGTCTAATTTCTCAGGATGTTTGGTTTTTTTCCTCTGGCAAAGTATAGAGGCTATTTCATAGCAATACGCCATTCACTAATGGCAGTTTTCAGTACACATTTTCCATTTACATAGTTTCCTCTTTGTCTTTTTCTTTCTCTGCACAAAGACTGCATGCAGTAATGTAAACTTTACCTTACAAAGCTTTTGGACATTGAACAGGTTAATTAAAAAAAAAAAAAGTTGCGGACAGGTTAATAAAAAAAAAATAAAAGTTCTGCTAGATTTTCCACTGATTGTTTTAGCTTTATGGTATGGGAATAGAGGAGAATATTACATACAGGTATAGTGAAAGATCTTTTGTTCAGCATTTCCCTCATTACGTCAGAGCTCTCTAAACTGAGCAGTTGCTTTTCTTTTGCTCCAAACAATGTTTTCAGCTCAGATGTAAGGAAAAGATTAAAAAAGTAGTAAGTCTAACATGTAGCTAGAAAGCGAGTGACCTTTCTTTTATTTTACTATTTCCCTCTTCTGGTATTGTTACTGCTTTAACAAAAATTTTCTTAAACCCAAAATGTAGTGGTGAATCTCCTTTTTAAATCTTACATCATGTTTCTTTTGGTCCTCTCCTTGTTGTCTTTCATCACTAATTAAAATTAAAATGTATTCACATTGCACAGGTTACTCTGACCGTTTCCTTCTGTTTGTAAACAATTTCAGGGCAGTCTGTTTGCACTCACAAAATTACTTCCCATACTTTCTATGAATGTTAATAGTTCAGTCTAGTTGTACGTTTCTTCTACGTACCTGTGATAAGAAGTGGAGTTTGGCTGTAGTAGTTCATTGCACACTGTGGTGGATTTCTTTGTGTTGACTTGTAATAGCCAGACTAAGTAAAATATTGCTGAAGAAATGTCATCACTGGCCCCTGAGAAAATGTGCTGCATACCTCAGGTTTTAGGTTAGTCATATCCTGCTTGCTGTTCTCACAAGGGTAGTCCCATTTGTTCAGCTGAGATTACTTGTTGAGATAGTATCAAGGCTTCAGACTTGGCTAATGATTTCAGACTTGATTGCTTATAAATCTCATTTTTTCCCCGAATATCTTCTTGTTTTCTCCCATACTGTCCCTTACAAGGTGAGTACTATGGAAGGAAAAAACCAACCAAACAAAAAAATCCTCGCAAACTGCCGCTCAGTTTCTCTGTTGTGAAGCCCGTGACATACTCGATAAGCATCAGGCAGCTGGTGTGACCTCTTCCTTCATAACCTTTGTGTCATTGCTGCCTTGTGCTCCTTTCATTGCGTTGTGTTCTCTTGTGGTCTCAAGCATGGCCTGAGGCCATCGTGTTACTGTTGGCACGTGGGATCTCTGAAACATTTTAAATTAAGGCTTTTAGGCACCAGTGTGTTACAAATAATAATGGTATGGGTAAAGTAAGCAGGGCTTGAATTATGCTAACTTGTCCCCTGGAGTTTTCTCTCAGACCATTGGCATCCATTTGTGTATTCAAACGTTTAGTAATCAAATTTCCTTAAAATATCCTTATTTGGTTGGTGCAGAGTTCTGGTTGGGCTCTGCCTTGGCAGTCCTGTATCTACAGTTGTTTCTGGCACAGGGAGATCTCTCTGACTTCAGTGCTGGACCTAGAGGCTAGTTGCAGCATGTGCAGTAGGGTGTTGTAAGTCTGAATTGCAGCATCCTGATTCCTTTTGTATTGTGGCTACTTTTTCTTGCAGTTGTTCTTTGCCTCACTTCTTCCTTTCTTCCCTCCCTTTCTTTCCTTGCTATCCCTGACAGAATGGCTTTGAGCCTCTCTTTGTGTTTGAGATTGACAATAACACCAATACCATTAAAAGGCGGCCAGGGACTCGCAAACAGGTGAAGAGCATGCAGTGTGTGTTGCTGTTGTGGTTGTCCTACCCTGTGGTGTGCCGTGTTCCCCTTCCCTTCGCCCACTGCTGGGCACGTGGATTGTGATGAGTTCTTGTTAGTCTGCATCAAGGTTGTCTTGCTCTTTTCATACCGGAAAAAACAGTTACATTGATGTTACAGACCACCTACTTCTGTTTTATTTTACTGTTCTCATATACTAGCTAATGTTTTGCTTAAGTCAAGTGATATTTTGAAACTCTTTAAAACAACAACAACAACAACAAAAAAAGAAACCCACGATTTTTGCTCTCCACTGCTGTGGAGAAAGAGGCGGCTGTCTTGAGGATCAGCTGTGAAGTCTGTACAGGGCCTAAAGAAGTTTGTATTTAAGGCTTGCCCCGAGTATAACCTCTCCTTCTAGTCCTTCCTGGCCGTACTGGCCTGAAGTGGCAGAATGTTGCGCATAGTTTTTAAATACTAACACTCCCAAGTGTGTCATTGGCATCTGTAGAGTTTCTAGGTGTCATTCAGTGCTCTTTTCCTGTGCTGAACTGCCACTTCGCTATTGGGATGCTGTCTCAGAAAGTACAGATTCATTCTTGAGCCATTCAGTCCTCAAACATTAATATTTTGATTGTGCTTTCAGTAAGACACAGAATTTGACCTTCTAGATCACGTGTCAGTGACAGATTGGCATGCTGGAGCTCCTGTTCTATAAACATGAAAAGTTGTTTATTTGGTTGATTTTGCTATTGGTTATAATTGAAATTCGACTGCACTGTGTGACAGTGCTGTAAATCTTCACACTGACATCTTCCCGGTGAGCTACATTCCACCCACGGAACCTTATTTACTTTGTGTGTCATTCACAAGGGTCAGCATTAGGTGTTTGTGGCAGACACTAAGTGTGTATTCTTGAGCCCCTTAGGTGTGGGTTTCTCTGATTTTACAAAGTCGATAGGAAAATAACTTACTAGAAATTCCTAACATACTTGATACATTAACAAGAAAGCTATGTATTTTGAATAGTGGCTCAGAATGAACTGTTGTAGGGTAAAATTTCCTATTGTCTGATGGCATAGGTGTTACTACAGAAGCTTTTACCTCACTTACTGTTCTGGCTTCTGCTTTTGATGCCACTGTGTTGTGTGTAAAAGAAGCGTTGCACCTCCCAAGCTTATGAGCCATAAAGTTCAGGAGCGTAGGATGGCTTTAACTGTGGTTCAGCAAATAAGTACGTATCTGTTGCCTGTGGAGTGTTTCTGAGAACGTGATCGTGATCACCTCTTCCTTTTTAACTTGTCTGCTGCATCCACCTTTGTGCATGACGTGTCAGCCGTTTGCTAACACTGCTACTGCCTTCTCTTTCTTTCTGCATTCAGTCACTCTCAGGGTTGAACCAAGAAAGCTGTGCTACCACCCTGCCTAATGCCTCTACCTTCAGTCCTGTCAAGGTATCTCTCGCTATTATCATTCACCAGTAAAGCCAACAAAAACTCTTGGATCTGCACATCTGTTTTAGCAGGTGTTAGTCTGTCAGCTTCTAATCAAAAGTTCAGGTAGGGTATGAATCTGATTTACCTGATGAAACTGTAGCACATATTACCTCATCTTAGCTTCGGGCAGTGTCTACAGGAGGCCTAAGCGATCAAAACACGGTAACTAGTCTCTGCTCCGAGGGGTTCTTGATTGTCTTTGATGTTGCTTTTTCTGTACAAGATCATTTACTCTTGACCAAGTTGAGTTCATCAAAAGTACCCTTGTTGTACTCTTTACCAGCTTACTTTTGAATACAGATTTCCTAGATTTCTTTTCTCTTCTGTGGAAAGTGCTATACTGAATGCATTCATCACAAAAAATCATCGGTCTGCTTGAGCACTGTAATAAAACCGGTGTGCTTCACTGGGGAGAGCGATGTTCAGTAAATAGCAGTTTTGCATTAGCAAAGGTATCAAAGAGGTGTGTCCTTATCAGGCTGCTGTAACACGAGTTCTGCATGTTACTTAATTACCTGTTTTTCTGAGTCCCTTTGCAAAGAATACTTTCAAAGTGTTGGTTGGAAGGAAGAGTAAACAAAGACCTGTCATTGCACAGTCCGTGCTGTTTCATCATTCTTTTTCCTCAGAAAAAAGAATTGTGTCATTTCTGCAAAAGAAAAAACCTGTCACTTTCTGCAGAGATGAGACTTGGGGAACAGCATACAATTTTTTTTCACATTTCTGTTTTTTTTCTGAAACACATTTAGATGGATGGAGCCTTTTTTAAAACACAGCTTTTTTGGATTAGGACCATTTATACTCTTCTGCTTTTTTGTCCACAGAGTGATGACAGATCTACCATCTCCCCCGGCTCACCTACCACTCAGACAGGTAACAGGGAAAGGAAGAAAAATTTGTGGAAAATGACATCAAAATGCCTGTTTGCTTATTTGTACTATGAAGAGAAGAGAGCATATGTTCCCGTCTCTGTATGTGGCACTGCTGCGTTTGAGAGTTTACCCGGTTATTTGGGTCCCCTTAGAAACACATGCGGGAAGGGACAACAGGAGTGAAGCATGTCCTCAGGCAGAACGTAGGGTTTGGCTCGTTTAGGCCTTCCTACAGGCTTTGGCACACAGATGCATTCAAACAGTTGTTGGAATTGGTATGTGGAATGTGCTTTGCATGCAAATGTCCTTGGAAGTGCCCTTTCCTGCCCTGTGCTTTTATCATGCATGGCTGTGACTTATTTTGTCATTCTTGTGTTAAAATTTTTGGTTTGTTCTTTTTAATTACCACATTGCTGAACCCATTTCCTATTTAAACTCTAACCGTTTCCTTCTTCCTCCTTTCCTTTCCTGTGCCTTTCCACATTTGTTTAGTCCACCTTTCCCCTCCATATCCTGGCCATGCAGCCCCGCCTTCCTATAGAAACCCTTCCCAGCGACCTGAGAGTTTCCTTTTCCGAGCAGCTGTCAGGGATGAAGCAAACAAAGGTAGGTTGTATAGCTCAGAAACTAGCTGGTTTTGCTACGTTACGTTGACATCTGCATTAGTGAGGCTTTGCACTGTGCTGTTACTTCAGGTCATTATCATCAAACTACTTTTAGAGTTCCATTTGTAGACACATGACATTAAATACTTTGCGAATGAGCAATTTTTATTTAGAACTGTCAAATACTCTTTTGTCGTATTTGTGGAAACGTAAGAATTTCTTCTTTCTAAAGAGAACGTAAAAAGATACCAAGGAAATACCACAAAAGCCTTCAACAACTGGTGAGGGCAGCTTGATAAATTTTGCATTGCACAGTAGCACATAACAACATTGCAATTTCTGTAGAAAGACTGAACTGTTTCAACATGCTCCATCCAGCAAAACTTCTCCTTTGTGAATAATTATTATTATTCAGCGGGAAGAACAGAATCTAAACAGAAAGGAAAATGTGTTAAAGCCACCTCATTTAGACTAGTAGATCGTTACTTTGATTAATAATCAAATGAAGGAAGCGGATTTGTGAAAAGGAATGCGCTGTCCCCATTCTGGAACTTTGTGTGTGCGTGTGCAGCACGGCAGTGAAGGACAGTCAGCCAAGCAGTTCTCAGTGACTTTCTTTCCTTCCTGCTGCTTTTTTAGCTGTTACTTCATCTTCTACCCGTGCCTTGTCTCCTGCTAACGGTTCTGCAGACCCTAGAGTGAGACAGAACTCCAAACAGCGAGAGGAGGAGCTGGAGCTAATAGAGCAGCTACGTAAGGTGAGCGCTGCCAGGAGCCAGTATGTGGGTGTCTGAGTAAACGCATCGCGTGCGCCCTGCTGATTCTGTCCTCGTGTTTTGGACCAATATGGTGCAGAGTTGACCTGAATTAAATGTCATTGTACAGTCTAAGTGGTTCTTTGAGATGGATGCAGAGGTGTTCACTTTGGGTTTTGTGATGGATAAAGTCAGCCTCAAACTCTGTAAAATAAACTTTGCTGACTCCTGCTTCTGAGAGTCCAGTGATCTCCGCTTCTAAAATGAAAGCGTGCTTGCTTTCTTCCTTACCAGCCTTCACACTTGTAAGGAGCTCCCTGGGAAGTTGCCTCACCGTCTTCCTTTTAATCTCTTTTTAAGAACTCCTCTTTGCTGTAAAGCCCACGGAAAAGCAGACTGAGTGCGGGGACTGCTGCCAGTAATGCTGACAGCATGGTTTCCTTGCGTGCTCTGGATCCATCTGGTGATTCTTGCCTCATCCTTAGTTCAGCGCAGAACATCTGAGGCACCAGAATTCCTTACGCTTGTGCGTTTCGTCTGTTTAGGGCCTCCACGCTCCTGGTTTATGCCTGGGCACAATGACAATACACAAGAATATTGAAAATGCCACGTGGCATTAAGGTACTGCTCTGCTTTGCCCCAGGCTTGTTTCTGGAGAGCATGAAGGGATCCCTTGAGGTCCTCTAATTGTTAGAACTTTCCCAAGAATAAGAATTGCTGCTTGTTTAAGCTGATTTTAAAAGGCATAAGCATCCCAGATAGACAGAGAATTCCTTCTCTTCGTAAATTTTAAAGTGAGGACAATCTCCTTTCTCTAAAAGGAGAAAGTTATCTTAAATAAAACAAGACAAAACTTGGTGCTGTTTGCAGAGCCTCTCTTCTGTTCTCTCAATGTTTTGTGCGTAGTCTGTCTCTAGTTCTGCTTCCCATGTAAGCTTAAATCTTTTTTTTTAATACTTTAGAATGTGGGTGCAGCATAACAGCTCAGTGAAATTCGCAAAGCGTTTGAAATAAGATTAAAAGCCTGAATTGAATTTTTATTCATTCCCTTACGCAAATGCTATCTACCTCTCTTTTTAAAACTATGTATGCCAAGTAGTTCAGGTTTTTCTTTACAGGAAAATATGTTGTCTTGACTTTTGTTAACTTTGTTGTCCTCCAGCCCACAAAGACAATTATTTTCACTTTCCTTAGCAGAACCATTCTCTGAGAATATGTAGGATTAGGAGTAGTGTTCCTAGACCCTGATTTCCCTAATTTTTAAATAATGATTGTATTAGTCCTCTGTGCTGTAAAGTGAAAACTGTTCATCGTTGAACTCAATTGCTCCCAGACTGTGGTGAGCTCTGGGCCACAATAGTGCGCAGAGCTTGCCTTGCTGTTACCCAGACAGCTGTTGGGAAGCGTCACGAGGATGGACAGAGAGTTGTAATGCAAGCGCTCTGCCTCTTATAAAGTGTTCTGCAGAATGAAACGGGTGGAGGAAACCAGCTCTTAAACTTTTGGTGTATCCATGTTCGTTTTTCTACAGAATATAGAATCACGGTTGAAGGTGTCGTTGCCCAGTGATCTTGGAGCAGCTCTCACCGATGGTGTTGTTCTGTGCCATTTAGCTAATCACGTGCGTCCCCGATCTGTTCCCAGCATTCATGTCCCCTCACCTGCTGTTGTAAGTATGCGATAATGGTAGTCTTTGATAGGTGTCCAGAATAACATCCAATAAAGCCCTATAATCCAGACAAATGCTAAATCCAGCATTCTCCTCTGTGAACATACATGACAGAAAATAACCATCTGTTCTGTCTAAAAAGAGCCTATATTGTCATTAACAGAAATTATAGCTGGGGTTTTTTTCATTTAAATGAAGTTACGTCTAACACAGATGGGAAGAAAGTGTTAACACTTTGAAGTCCTCCCTATGTTAACGTGAAAACTACTGAAATAAGAGACAGTTCAGCATGAAAACTGAAATAGGATATTTCAAAAGACCAGAAGGTCTGACAAGTTCAGGAAAACAGATAGCAGGGAAGTACAACATTCTCTACAATGTTTAGGATCCCACTGCACAAGACGGTGACAACAGGCAGAGAAGCCAAGTTGGTTCCTGTGTCCACTTTACAGCACTACAAATTCCTTTGCTTAGAAATTTTAGCAGAGCACGCTGAAACTACTTGGAGAACAGCATCTCCTGGAACAAAACAAATCCAGCTGTACCTTTGTGATAATCAGAAAAAAGGTGGTTGTATTTGGGGACTGTTCAGAGCGAGGAAGGAAGCACACAGAGAAGTCTGAAAATTTCTGAAGTTTTCTCTTGCCCTGCCTAACTGCAGTGATTCTGGAAAGCAGTGAAGGCGATCTATTTCTAGGTGCATTGCTGTGTATCACATAGGGAAAGCACAGAATTAGAGAACGGTCAAGAGCTGTGAAATAATGACATTTGTTTACCTAATCTCTGTTTGTGGAAGTCGGAAAGTTCCGTGAACAGATTTAGAGTCAACTCTTAAAAGTAGTGTGGACAGGTGGATTGCTTGTTCCGCACCTTTAAATCGTACGAATAAGGGGAGAACACTGAGGATTGTTCCTGGGGGAAGGAGTTCAAACATGCGTGTTGTGTTTGCTTTTCCTTATTTTGAAGTCAGGCTTTGTGTTGGTTGGAATTTGAACTGGCATTTACAGGGCTGCCTACTATATCATTGTGGTTCCTTTCCCTTGGACTTAATGCGAGCGTGCAGAGGTCTTCAGTATTTTGAGAGCAATTGAAGCGGACACGCCAACATTTTAGGCAGACTGGAGTCGTTGAGAGAAAAGGCATACAGCTGCTGCTCAGAAGGCTGGCATCACCCAGAATATCTTTTCAATGGCCTGGTTTTATGTGCTGTTGAATATTCTGCGTTAGGAATTAAGTCATGGCTTTGTCATATGAATCCCAAGGAAGAGGCAGCCTTGAGCTGCATGGCTCCAGGAGCAGAAGAGGCATCACGTCATTCCTCAGTCACAATGTGATCTTTGTATTCCCTTCATCCTTCGGGAGCAAGAAGTCGGCGCTAGCCCTTAACGTGCTTTCTTGGTGGGGAAATACGGCACGCTGCGGGACAGAGCAGAAACCCCTCCACCCATGGAAGAGTATTGAACGCGCAGAGGGCACTGCCTGCTACTGCACGGGCTGTGGGCAGCTTGTTCAGAGGAGCAGGAAGCTTGTGTTGCTTTAACCAGAAAAGAATAAGCTTCAAGAATAGAAACAAGACAGAGCCTGTGCTGTGGTATGTCTACGTAGAGGTGTGAAAGCTAGCTGTAGGAAAAAGCTTGCTTGAAAAAATGCCACCGAGTGCAATTCAAACAGCTACATCAAACACAGCTACAAGAGGCTTACAAGCAGCAAGCTTCAGTTCCAGTTTTCTTCCATTATTTTCTCGTTTCATCGAGCCTTCATTTTTTTTTCCTCTTTGTTAATTGAAATATGGTTTCATATTTATATGGTTTTGTATTGTAGTAATCCAGAATAGACTCCAGATTGCTTCATATCATGGAATTGCTCTGAAATCACAGCGTGGAAGGCATGCATTGTGTTTCATCCAAAATTTTAAAAATCATCATGCTGTAGTCACTAAAAGTGTTACCCAGTTTTACATATCACCTCATATATAAATACTGCACAACTTAGAATTGTCTTTTTTTAAAAACATCCAGCATTCGTAAATTAATTTTTCATAAAATAGCTTTGACATTTGGGTTTGCTTTTCTAAAGAAAAGCAAACTTCAACAGAGCCTGCTTTGAATTAGACAAGCTTATGTCAGTGTGGTAAGTTTTTGGCAGAGAGTTTTATTAAGAGTTTTATTTAAATAAAAAATAAAGATGTTTTAAAATCCTGCCAATTAAGAGCACTGTACACCTGCCTCCTTTACTTCTTTGCAGCCTAAACTCACAATGGCAAAATGCAGACGAAACGTGGAGAACTTCTTGGAAGCTTGCAGGAGGATTGGAGTGCCTCAGGTACGTGTTTCTGCTGTCCTGATGAGATGTTCCGGGTGCAGTTTTGTATGATGCGTCAGAAAATTAAAACACCTTTGAAAGATTGGATGAAAGCAAAATGGTGAAAAGTTTAGAAGGCCGAGGTATAAGCTATGTCTTCCAGTATAGATCGGACTTACCTTGCGTTGTCTTCCAGTGAAAATGAAGTCAGGTACAGTTTATCAGAGGTCTGATTCACTTGCTGTTGTGCCTCAAATTCATAATGGCCGATGCAGTTTGAGTCTGCCTTTAGAACTGCAAGGTATTTCTATTAAAAACAATTCTGTTTTCTTAAGGTTAGATATTTGACAGCTTAAAAGTGGGATAAAATTTGGATGATGTTTTGCATTCCTTCAGAATAATTCTCTTACATGAACGTCTTTACTGTCTGACCAACAGCTCACAGTTTTATTGGCCTTTCTCTGGTGGTAGCTGTCTTTGCGTAGATCCTAATTCTTTCGTTACCTACCAGGGGTAGAAGTCTATCTTCTGGTATTCCTTGTCCCCTTCTGAAACTTGGAAGATCTGGGAGGTGGGAACATATAAAATAGTCCATCTGAGTCCAGTTACCCTGTTTTATGCTGTCCTGTCCTTTCTGCTTTGTCTTATTCGACAGCTGTCTCAGTGCGAATAGTTTTGATGTACGTCATGTTTTTCTTAATTTTTCTTCTAGTCCATTAATTGATTTGGTTTCTTGCACTTTAGTGTTTCTGTTGTAGGTGCTGTTTTCTTTCTTTTGTAGTGTGAAAGGGAAAAGTAGACCCAGTGATTCATTTCCCGCTCTTTCGAAAAGCAATGTTCTCGAGTCAGTCATGGAGTATTTTGTGGTATTTTTGGATAGCTTCACTTGCAGGCGTTTGAGCCATTGGGATTTTAGGCCAGCATATTTAGTGAGCTGCCTGGCAATTTCACGCAACTCAGTGGTGAATCACGTTGGAATGTGGTAGGGAGTTGTAAGTGATCGTTAGTACTTGGAGATCCTGCACGGTTTTGGTCCCCTAAGTCACTTCAGACTTTTACTCCCAGCAGAACTGCACAACATATGTTTTTGCCTGGGGCAAAATTGTTCAATTCTTTCCCAGCTGCCCTACTTGTATCTCGCTCAGATATGAAGATGTAATTTTTATGGGATTGCAGTACGGAGCAGATCACAGAAATGACCCCACATTTGAAAACAAACAAACAAGGAAGTCCCCTGTAGACCCAGTCTGCTGTATCTGCCACACCTACTGCCTGGGACCCTCCTGGTTTTCTCCTATTTCTTGCTTTAACGTGAAAGAGTTCAAGGAGAGTGTCTTGTCTCTGGGGAAACTTACTGAAATACCCCCACCTGAACTATAAAGCTGCTCTCTCATGTCTGTGTTACTTATCTACTGAGATGTGAACGTCAGATATCTGTGTGCAAGAAAGGTGTGGCAGCCTAGTGTGTTTTTCAAGAAAAGATGCCTTCAGGTATTTCCTTTCATTTAAATTCTAATTACAAAAATAAAAGGCTTTCTGAAGGTGTGGATCTATGTAGCAATACTTATCTTCGAAGAGGAAGGCTGCTTTTAGAAAATGCTAATTACAGGCACCACAGTGGAGCAGCTATTCCTGCAGGACTTTGCTAGTTAAAACCCAGGCATCAAAAGAAACCGACAGTTGAACAGCTGAATATGTGCGTTTGGGTTTCACTGATTAACAGTGGTGTGGAAGGGAGGGAAAAGGTACACAGTGGGAATAGTTACAGAACATTTAAACTCTAATTAGTAATGGATATTTCTGCAGGATACTGCATTCAAGCATCAGTTATGCATAAATAATCCCTTGTCCTACTGTTTTCATTAACTGAGATACATGTGGAGGCTTAGCTGTGGTGAGGACTCAGTGGCAGCAGCATCTCAGCAACCTGCAGCCTCTTCATTTCCCCTGGAGAAAAATGGGTTTCACTGAGGCCTGTGTAAACTGCTGTTTTTAACAGGGAAGACTGTTACGTGTTTAAGCTGCACAGGTGAGGGGTACCTCACTGAACGCTAATGTTTGCATTAAGTGGGTTCTTTGCAATGAGAGTCTTGCAGATTCTTTAGCAAGAATTAACCAGCTGTGGTAACGCTTCTCGAACATGTAGGTTGTATCTGAGATGTCTGATGACTGACTGCTTCGTGGATGTTGCTATGGCTAACTGACTGACCTTTTTTTTCTGTCTGTTTTCCCTTCCTGCTCACACACTCTGGACAGGACAATCTTTGTTCCCCTTCTGACATTCTTCAGCTAAACCTCAGCGTTAAAAGAACAGTTGAGACTCTTCTTTCCCTGGGGACAGATTCAGAAGAATCCAGTCTTGTCTCCCTTTCCATTCAGCTCTGGGGCTTTGTGGTGTTTTACTGTACTCTAATGCTAACGCTCTGTATGTTCTATCGCTGGGTCTTTTTTCTCTAGCTGAAGGATAGTGTCGCTGCTTCCTCCCTCCATCACTCTGGTGCTTGGGAAAGGATTTTGGGTTCTGTCAAGACTGTGTATGAAGTGCTCTCTTTCCCACTGATGGGACAGAGTGGCAAGTACGATGTGTCAACACCTTGGTGCACCCCCACAACCGTCTGTGACACAATTCACGTTTGTATTTGCTGTGTCCCGTTTAGCAGATACGGTGTTTTTACAAGGGAGGAAGTGCTGTCCGTGAGCTAGAGCGAGGGGCTGAGGTTAGGACATGTGGGTGCATGCTAGAGTCTGCTGACGAGTGATGTAGTACTGGAAAAACTGATGATGTCAGTTTGTGCCTCAGTTTCCCCATCTGTGTAATGGGAATTGCACCCGCTTTAGGAAACTGTTTGAGGATTATCTGATGAAAACTGTCAAAGAATGCGAAGTATTTTTTTTCAATGTCAGTGTTCTTGATGAGATCTCACAGTCTTAGGAGACATGGTCTGGTAAGTTTTGTCCACAGGACTTTGTTTTTTATTTTTTTTCTTACCCCCAGTCCCTTATCCCGCTTCTGAGAGCGTTTGGTTTCTCGTATTTGTAGACTCTGGTGTATTACGTTGAGTCAGGATTTTTAAAATAGCTGTCTGTGAATCCTGAGCTACTTAAGCTTCATAACAGATCAAGCAGGAAATTTCTCTGACAATTGAGCTCTTCAGCAGCTTTGACAGAAAAGTTTTCTGGCACAGCAGGAAAAAGCTTTAAGATTCTATCAGATACCACAGAATGTCATTTTACTGTGCTCTGGATAAAACTTAACAAAAATTTCTTGAGTTGCCGCTTGATTGTGGGCGCTCCAACCCATGCTCATTCCGTGCTTATTCCCTTCTTCCTCTTATCCTGTCATTTTCAGAAACCTCTGTAACACACAGTTGCAGAAATAAGTCCTGGCTGCACGATCACTCTTCACTGTTTTACAAAACTCAGGTAGTCTTCCGTAAAGCTTCAAAGCTTTTCCCTCCCCAGGAAAAGCATCCTGGTGCTTTAATGCTTGAATGTCTCAGGGACACCTCAGAACTTCAGGGCACTCCCGGTGTGATGTGCAAAAGACCATGTCTCCTCAGAGTGTAGGTTGATTCAGGGAACTCTGCTCAGAGAGAGCAGTGACAGGTAAGTGTTAAGTGAAACGGCTGTTCCAAATGTGTTTTCAATAAATTTCTGTAATATCTGAAAATGCAGTAAATGCCTTGTAAGCCCCGTTGAAGTGGTGTTAGCATTCCGACCTTAACCTGGCCACAGCTCTGAAGCACAGTTTAAGACACACAGGAGTTCGGTTGCAAATGTGGTCGCTACCGGTAAAATTGTGTTACGTGTACGTGGATCCCGCGAGCTCTGGTGACACGAAGTGAGTATTGAACAAAGGAGCAAGCAGAGGAGTTGGTCCCTCTTTCCAAATCACACAGAGCGTTCTGTCCAAGCAAAACATTTTTGAGGAAAGAGGGGACCTTTGACAAGGGGAGATTGTTTTATTTTTAAATAAGCTATTTTTGCACTGCTTACTGGTGTGAACTGAAGTGAACTCGGTTCCTATGTTTCTTAACTTCTTCTAATGAACACTGTGAAAAAAGCTGCAAGGGGTTTTACACTAACAGTGCCTTCCAGTTCTTAAATTTTGTTTGTCAGGTCTGTCTGTGGTACGGAGTCATTCCAAAGCTTTTCCCCTTATCTATTTACCTACATGAGCAAAAAGATAAGGCATATTCGCTCATGTTTACAAGTATTTTCTCAAAAAGCACACTTTTCCAAAACAACATAAATTTGCTGGAAGAAAAATGTGTTTCAGCCTGATCATACGGCTTACTGTGAGAATTTCAGTCTGGGTCCTTTTGTTTTCTCTCCGCTCTGAGCTTGGCGGGAGGAGTGCTGGCTGCCACTGCTTATGCCGAAGGATTTCTTTACCATCAAAAACCAGTAAAGAAAAGAGTGGAGAAATGTGGAAATAGCACGTGAAAAATAACCTCTGTAGCTCTATAGGCAGGACACACTTTGGTTATTTTCTCCAGATACAGAGAACTGTTGGACATGTATCCTCCTGACGGTTGTGGAGTGAGGGTGGCCAGGATGTGCCAAGGACTTTAGGATGAGGCTTTAAATCCTTCTTAGACTGAGACTAGCACAATTATTAATAAACACTTTGAAACCTCTTTTTGCATTTTGTGTATTACTCTTATTCCTTAGAAGGATTTTGGAGGTAGCCTGCTAAGCAGGTGTACTTCTGGAGGATAAATAAGCAGTAGTGACCCTCACGTAACAGGCCGGGTGTTTGCCTGTAAATACACTGTCGATTTCTCATGGCCTTCAACAGGAGAAAGGGCGCTTTCTACATTTATGATCAAGGTTTTTGCAGTCGTACATAGAAGCAAGTCTGTCTTCTTCCTTCCCTAAAGCAACTTGTGCTTCCTGCGTTTTCATGCCTTCCAAGGAAGTTTTGTAGTGACAGAGATCTCACACAGACGGGACTTCGGATGGGCAGTGTGTCTCGTGGGGTGAGAACTGCTCTGAACTATGACATTTCCTCCGAGACTTGTTGCACGCTGTTTCCACGTTCTCTGCTTTAAAGCAGGTCTTCCCTCACGATTGATAGCGAGGCAGGCTTGCCTGCACGAGGACGCCCTCGACAGGCAGCTGTGGTTTGGAAAGGAAGCCGTGGTTCCTTTCCTGCTCTGGGTTGTAGCAGGTTCATCGTGTTGAAGCAAAGCATTCGCCCTCCTTAAGTTCATCTACTTGTAGTTTCATAAACCGCGGCCCGTTTCAGTGTGGGCAGAGACAGAGGACAATTTGCTGCTCCCCACTTCTCCCACAATCCTTTCTCAAATTCTTGTTTGTACAATTTCCTAATAAATAATGGATTATCCCAAGGCCTCTTCCTTCGAGTAGTCAGGTTCACGGTTCTTTAGCCACAAGCAGAGATTTCATTTCATTCCCGTGTGTGTGTGTGTGCTGGCTGTCCATAACATTTCATATTTCAGTCACCTTTTGCTTAATTTTTTTTTTTTTTCTTTTCAGTTGAGTGTTTTTCATCCATTTTGTTTTTGTCTTTGTTTTGTTCCCCATTCAGGAGCAATTATGTTTGCCTCTACATATTTTAGAAGAGAAGGGTTTGACACAGGTAGCTGTGACTGTCCAGGCGCTCCTGGAGCTGGCACCCCCAAAGCAGCAGCAACTTCACCACTTGTCTGCTGTGTAAAGACCTCCGGGACCTTTTGGGTTACCTTGGCTAAGTAGAAGGACGTGAAGACTTTACTGCCCATGCAGTGCATCCAAACACACAGAGTCTGTTCTAAGGAAATGAGTTTCTGTGATTCCTGACAGGAATGTTTTACTTCATTTCTCCTTTTTTTGGAGATCACAACAGGTTCCAATAACATTATCGATATTTTTGCCCCTTATTTAAAAAAAACAAAACCCATACAGTTCATGGGGAGGAGGGCAGGGAATTCCAGTGGCTGGCAGTTGGAGCCAGCTGTAGAAACTGACCCTGTAGAATGAAGATGCGGGTGTAGAGTTTGGAAAGCGATTCCTACAGGAGTTTGTTTGTGAAAAAAGGATGGATGTTGCTGTGGTGGGCACATGGGGAATGAAATTTCTTTCTTTCCCTGCAGGGTTCAAAGAAAGGGAATTTCTCTGCCTTCAAAGAACAACAGCTATTTCTATTATATATTTTAAAAAATTGCATCACACAATCTTAACCTGCAGTGTTTGATAACAGGGTCAAGCCTCACACGGCTGTAACTTGTAATGGCAAGTCCTCATTACTTAAAATCTGAAGGAAAAAAAAAGATTTTTTTTTTTTCTCCCAAAGGAAAAAATACTGCGTGTTTCCTCCGTGAGAAACATCTTGGATACTAAACCAGAACTGTTCAAATTGTGTTAATCACATCAGCGTTCTTGCTGGGTTCACTTTCTGTTTGGGTTTTAACGTGTCTTTATCTGAAAATGTTTCCAACATCAGTGGGGGGAGATCTCCGGTGTCTCTCCCCTTCTGGTCACGCAGGGACGTGTCTGGTTACTCAGTAGTTTGTCAGACGGTGAGTAGATGTCACGAGGAGCCATGTATGTCTTTTCAACGCGGTGTGAAGGATGACAGCCTGCCGTGCCCACCGTTAGGAGCCCGTTCTCAAGTGACAGGTTTATTGGGGGCTGGAGCATCCCCTGCAGTCGGGCCAACCCTGGTGGGTGTCCCAGCTGCTGAGAAACCTGGCGTTTTGAAAACGCAGTGACTGAATTCCTGCGGGGGGGCTGCGTGTTGCCGGAGCAGCAATCTGTTGCAAAAGGTAGCTTCTATTTGTGGGTTTAACGAGGTTTTAATAAATAAAGCCTTTTATCATCGGAATTTATGTAGAGATGCACTGGTTTGACAGAACTACCATTACTTCCTTCCTCTTTCCTTAAGATAAAAACGGAAGTTCAGTGTACACGAATGGAAGCGGCAACCGACAAGTTTTGCACTTTGCTGGGAAGTTGATCTGCAAAGCAAGAACGAGCTCTGTGCGCTCTGGTCCTAGTGACAAGGCCAACCTCACTACTGGATCAGTTCCAGTATTTTTTTTCTTTTTCCCCAAAAAAGACCTTGCAAAATCCAGTTCTCCCCCCATGCAGTTCCTTTGTTAGATTTTGGCAGATTTAAAGCATCCCAGAGTGTTATGCTACTAATACACAGGGTCTGAGACCAGCTTCGGGCATGGGAGGTATTGCGTCCGGGGATATATTTGAAGCAGATTACACCAAGAGGATTTCATGGGGGTGAAGGAAGGAGAAGAAATGGGAGCAGGCTAGCTAAAAGTCACTTTTGCTGAAGTAAACCTGCCGTGGGAACACTGGCAAGGACTGGCCTCAGCTGGATTTTTTTCCCCTTTTGATTTGCAGTTTGGGTTTTGCTCTGTTTTGCTTCATGTATTTCTTTCAAGGTGCCTTGTGAATCCCTTCCTTCACCTAATTATTCCAGTTGCTTCTTATGGGCATTGGCTGATGGCATTGCAAGGACAAGAACACCTGAAGGGTGTTTAAAACTGCACAGCTGAAAAGAGAAGCCTTTTCACCCTGGGTGAGCTGTTGCCCTGAGCCCTGCAAGAGATGGAAATGCCAGTAACTTGCAGTACACGTAGGAAGAGACGTACTGCCCTCCTTAAGCAGGTCTTGTTTCGCCTCACTTGGTTGCAAGGAGCGTAGGTAATTCTTAAAGGATTATGTAAAAGCGTCCGAAGTCTCTGCTGGAGTTTGCTGAGGGGAAGATTCTGCCGCTCGCGGGCAGCGGTGCAGACCACAAGTGTTTCCTGTGTGTCTCCGCACATAATCTGAGCAGGGGGCACTGACTGCAGCTTAGTTTCCAACATCGGGTCACTTGTCTTCTTACAGGGACGCGTTGCTGTTTAATAGCACACCCTTCACGGGCTGTTCCAGTGTGCCCATTTTAAGAAAACCCTTCCCTTCACGGAATTGTGAGGGTGCGTTGTTCGCTCCAGTCCAGCTTCCAGCGCTTGGGGAAAACGAACCTTAACAGCATTCAGGGTGGTGGGAGTTTGACGTTTCTTTCATACTGGTTTTTAAGAAACAATGGGGCGGGGAAGTTGAGCCTGAACTGCAAGAAACGGCCATTTCCTCTTGTGCCTGGGCCACACGGCGGCTCTCCCGCGGGAGCGGTGCCCGCTGGCTCCTGTGCGGAGCCGCGGTGGCGTGGCTGGGCGGTGGCGAGTCCCCAGGCCCGCTCGCTTCGCCCCAAGCAGCGGTTCGCTCTGGTACTTTCAGTGCCCGGGGCCATGTTAGTTGGATGCTTGTAATCCTGTGGTTTCGTGCTGGCAAACACTAAACTGACCAGGTGTTTAGGACAGAAATCCAAACCTGAAGTTTCATCGTATGGTTTATTTAACGTATTATACCAAAACCGACTTCAGTTCTCTTCTGCAAAATGGGTTGGGATTTTTTGGTGTATTTATGTGCAATTTTTGTTGTCTCCCGTGAAAAGAGTATTTTAAAGAAAAGGTGTATAAAATTCTATTTTGTGTGTTAAAGCAAAGAGGCAACTGTCTGTCCTCTCTGGGGCATTTGCATGAGGGGATGTGGGAGGAATCCATCTGAGTGTTCCGTGCTCGCTGGTGTTCGTACGCTGGGTCCCTTGTGCCACTGTCATCCCTCCAACCGCGTCCTCGAGCCCTGAGCAGCAGCGTCTGGGGCGCAGCGAGGTGACACACTCGAGATGATCAGCATGGGCACTCGGCCCTCCCTGGTGGCATTGCGGTGGTCGGGGCACAACAGCTGGGGTTTGGGTCTTCCGCTTTTGGGGGGGGGCTTTCATAAAGGCCCCGACCCCGCTGGCTGCTTACACCAGTCAGAGACCAGTTCTTACAGCGCCGAGAACGCCTCTGTTGTTCTTGGTAGTGACACGATGGCAAATGGTGTTTTTACCCTTTTATGACTATAAATGGTTCTTTGAAAAAATGTTTTAGAAACAGAGGACTTCTAAGGTGAATTTTGGGGTCTAACATTCTTTTGTATAGATATTGTGATGTTTTACAAAGCGATCTAATTTTGTTATTTCTGAAAACAGTGTAAACGTGTAATTAATGGAGTAAAGGATTTTAAAGCTTCATCCCACGCTGTGTGTCTGTAAATACATTCCATAATTTCTGTTACATATAAATGTGTCTGTATATTGTATACTTTATTTTAAATTGCCTGTATTCTGCCAGTAGTGTGAACTTCTAGCACATTGATAATGTAAAAGGAAACCATGGGTAATTTGAAATAAAGTTTTAAAACTTACACGAATTACAGTATCTTCTGTTTTCTGCTGCATCACTGAATGTCACGTCCTCTGTGTCGGGTGTTTATTCCCCTCCCCCAGCATCACAGCTGGCAGTTAATGGGCCTGGCTTGTTTCTCTAGTTTTTGTAGTTAACCAAGATAGAAAAATTCCAGCATTATTATACACATTCTGCAGCCACATCAGAAGCTTTTTCTTGAGGACATCTTTAACCTTCCCTGGACCCTGAGAAGCAGTAATTTTGTACAGAATCCTTTGCTTCCCCCACACACCCTTTTTTTTCCTCTCTCAAAGTTTGCTGCTGCCAGTACTGGTGCTCCTTGCCGTTCTTGCCTTTTGCTTGGTTTTATCCTGTCTTGGGTTTGATCTGTGAAACTTGCACCGCTGCTTTGTGCCCCCCCAGCATTTGAAAGGTTTGTTCTTATCAGCCAAAATGTTTACTCCCCTTTTCTTGCCTCCACACAGCTAGTTTTTGTTATTTAAAAATAAAAAATAAAAAATGCAAGGCCCAGAAATTGCCAGAGATCCACCAATGCTCCCGACGTCATGCACACTGCACGTCCCCGGCGTGCTGTTCCCTGCGCACCAAGCTGCCTCCGCAACGTGTTTTGACCTCCTGGTGACTCCACCAGACACTTGGGACAACTGTTCCTGCCTTCATGGGGCTGCCCACCTCTCTCCTGGTGTGTGTTTCTCCCCCTCTGACTAAAGCCTCCTCCTAACCAGCTTCTCCCTCTCCAGCCTTTCTTCTCCCTTTACCTCCCTGGAAACCAGTCTCTCCAAAGGCCTCGTGATTTCTGGTTTTCCCTGCAGAAAATACCACGGATGTGCGCTTTGATCCCATCTCTCCACAGCTGGGTCAAACACCCTGACAAAGTTCCTCAAAACTGCCGGGTTTCGGGACCCTGCTCCGCTCCCACCGCTGGGCGCGCTCAGCAGTTTACTCTGCAGCCAAGAACCGCGAGTCCTCTGCGGTTTCTGCGGCGCGAGGTGAGGCTCGTCAGGAGAGCAGCTCCTCCGGGGCAGCCGGGAGGAGCATGGCCAGGGTGCCCAGGCACGGGCCTGCTGCTCTGCCAGGGAGGCGTAAGCTCAGGGGGGTCGGTCAGGGTAAAAACTTTCGCTCCCGTCACGCCATCGCCCAGTGGCCGGGACACTCGTGTTGGGACTCTCTGCAGATTTCTGCACTCCCCCACCTTACTGGTCTAGCAAACCCAGTTCCGCTGTTTTTTGTTTGTTTTGTTTTGTTTTAATACCATTTTTGAAAGAAAAAGTACCCTTTCCCCCACACACGCGGACACAGAGCTTCCTAATTCTGGAAGCATACTGCTGTGCCCCTGCAATTTATGGTTTTGTGTTTGTTTAGGGTTTTTTTTTCTTTCAGATACCAGTCACCAAAATGGAAGTTTTTAATTATTTCACGGTCCAGTTCCTGCTGGCTTATTCGCTGCGGCTCCAGGGCCTTGGTGCACCATAAAAGCAAGTGCTGTTGCGCTGGTATCAGGAACTGGGGCTTGAAGCAGGGCCCAGCCTCAGCAGCATCCCTGAACGCGGAGGATTTTTCAGGATGATATTTTGTTCTCTGCTGAAAATCAAGCAAAGCCCAGCCGCTGCCGTGTTTCAGATTTCTGTTGTTCCGTTTTGTTGCTAATGTGTGCCTAGAGTTTGATACAAACAGCGGAGAACAACTGCCCCTCCGTCCTATCCCATTTTTCCTTTGCTCCAAACCTCTGAAGAGTTTATGATCAAACTTAATTCCCTCCACCCAAACAGGTCACCTGTTAACATCCCACCACGTGTGGAAAATGCTAGTCCTAAACGAAACGTACCAAGTCAGGAGCGCATGAAAAACAAGAGTTAAACTTATGAACCTCACTCCCATGGTGGTTCTGCTGTGCCTCCAGCAGGAAGGAGCCGCGGTGCAGGGTGTAAGCACAGGCCCGGCTCAGCTCCCACCAGCACCGGCTGGTCCCTGTCCTCGCCCCCACAGGAGGACCAGGGACAGTGAGCGACGTGCTCACGGCTTTGGTGCCAGCGCTGAACAGGAACGCGCTCTGGTTTCAAGTGAGCGGCGGTGCTCCAGGGGTAACACCGGTACCTCAGACGCAGGTTTGTCTGGAGCGTTTGGGGTTGAAGTGCTCCCTTGACAACCGGCTCTGCCTGGGAGTCCGGCACCAGCCCCTCTCCTCCCGTTCAGAGTTCTGAGCCAAAGGCTCTGTGCTCGCGATTTCAGTCATCTCACTTGAACTTTAGAGCTTTTGGTACAGTTCAGCTTGGACACGAGGCTGTGTGGATGGGGCCAGCACGGGCTGGTCACCGAGAGCACAGCAGACCGTGTGCCTTGAGCTCGCTCTCCTGCGTGGCAGTGTCAGAAACCAGCCAGCTCAACCGCGGGGCTAATTTTGCTTTGTGCACAGACCTGCATGTGATTGATTGACAGTCGTGCCGGGAGAGAGGGCTCCCCTCTCGGTTCAAAAAGCAGCACGCTGCTCCCCAGCCGCTTTGCTCCCTGCCTGCCGCCTCCTCTCGCTGCGCAGTGACAGCGGCCAGGGTGGCGGGTCCGGCTGTGACAGACCAGCTCCCGCAGGCAGCGCGGCCGGCTGGCTTTTCCCATTGTTCCTTCCCCCGGTCAGAAGGTATTTGGAGCTGTTCTGTCTGTGCGCCCGCATTTCGCAGGACTGTGGGGATGGAAACCCGCGTGCTTTGCCTGCCCTTGTGTTTACGCTGCCAACTGTCAGCAGTTTCCCCCAGCCGACCCAATGCCGGCGCTGACAGCAGGGCCAGCGCTGCTTGAGCCCAGACGTGGGTGACTGGGCCACCCTGCCTTACTCAGCGCCACAGCCACTGCTTTGGGGTCTGCAGGGGAGGTTCTCAGTACAGAGGGTCCCGTCCCAGCTGCTGGGCTGTTAACAACATTACCTCCCGCTAGCTGCCTTGTTTCCATAAAGCGCATTGCAGGTTGCAGTGTTCCTTACTGCTTCGATGCAGATCCCCTTTTTGCTGGAGAAACTGTGTCTCTGCTGTACAAGGACAGCTTCACCTGAACCGTGTCTGCCATGAACCCTGTTCTCCAGAACGGTCTGAGCTCTGTGACATGGTTTATTTCATCCTGTCAGACAGACAGACTGCAGTGCCCTGCCCAGCAACCGCCCTGGAGCATGTCTGCGGCCAGGGTTCTTTCTTTATCTTGTCCTTTTCTTTGCTCCAGATTTTTCCTTCTTCACTTTCTCTTTCTGCTTTGATCGTTTCTCCCAAATCTTCCTGACCTGGTAGGGGCCAAGATTTCTGCGGACCATTGTACCTCTCCACCAGGCCTGCAGCTGGGGGGGGGGAAGAGAGAGGTCTTAGGGAAAATCACTTGCTAGGGGACCTGATACAGCAAAGTGGCCAGAGAGTCTCTCCTGTGCTCCCCAGCTGCAGGAGGGAACCCCAGGCCCACACGGCAGCAGTTGGACCTGTGCTGGTTACGCTGAAGGCACCCACAGCTGGGCCGAGGGCATCTGTTGCTGGTGGCAGGGGACGAGCAGGGGAACTGCCCCATGACCCTCCCTGTGTCACGCATGTAGCGGGGCTGGTGCGATGGGCACAGCCCCAAATCATTTGAGGAGGCTGGCTTCTCCCCTGTCCCTCCCTTCTCAAACCTGCAGCTAGCTGCTGGCTTTGTGTCTGCCCCAGTAGAAAGGGACAGGCTTTGTCTGTCCTTTGCTTGTGCCACCCCACACCAGCCGACTCTCCCGGGCCATTTTCTGCCTGAACAAAAACTGGGGCACAAATTACTCACTCCCACCTGCTGATGGAGCAGCACTGCCTCAGCTTTGCTCCCCTTTACCTTCAGGATGCTTTTCAGCTCGAGGGCATCCTGCTCCAGTTGTCTTCTTTTAGCCTCCTTTTCCACACGGTCACTGATGATGGTTTCTTCAAACATCAGGCACTGCAAGAGCGCACAGGGATGGCAACAGCCACATGAAAAACACATCCCCTGACCTGCAGGGCCAACCTTCGAGGCTCACTCTGCCCAGCAGCTTGCCAGGACAGGGCAGGGCTCACCTGGACCCTGGTGCAAGGAGTTTTCTCCTCTGGCTGCCTGCTGGTCACCCCCCGGCTACCTGCTTTTCACGGCCCAGCCGGGGCTGCTCTGGCCCGTGGGTCACAGCGTGGGTCCCCACCCTGTGCACCAGGGAGCAATCTGGCAGCCCAAGTGTGATGTGTAAGTGTGGACCTTCCTCCCCCACTTCCTTTATTTGATCTTTCCTGAATCCAGATGGCAAATACTGCTCATTACCACCATCAGTCCTAAGGCACTGAGAGCTGCTGCCAAAGTGAAACCTCTCACGGCCTGGGTGTAATTAACCCTCTGATCCCGTGCTGTAAAATGGCTGTCTGATGGCGTCTCAGGCAACAGATGGTGGTGGGAAGGACCCGTGCTCCCCCAGGCTAGGCAGCAGATGATGTACAAACCCACTTGGGACACTCAGATGACAGCGTGCAGAGTGAAAAATGAGCCCACGAGCCGGGAAACATCTCAGTCCCATCATCTCAGACCCAGTGACAGTAAGGAACGATTACAAATTCATTCCTTCTGGCTTTAAAACACCCCTTTTTCGAGACACTTCTCTCTGCCTGTGCTGCCTGCTCTGCTGTGCCCGCATAGCTGTGACCAGAGCCCAGCAGTTAACCAAGGAACCAGTGTGGGGCAGGGGTGTTTTTAACTGGAACCAGGTTATTCCCTTATAACAGAGCACTGTGCAGCTGTGAGCGCGCGTCTGCAGGGAGGGATGAGCTGCCTTTTCCAGCCTGGCATACCTAGATGTTGCTAGAAGGCACAGATTTGCTCAGACTAAGGCAACAAACCAAGGTGAAGCATACTGATGGGATGGGACAGTGACTTTGCCCCTCTCAAAGGCTGTCAATAGCTCTCTGATTACACACTGGTGTTCATCATCATCCTGCCTCGACGTCACAGGTAGCAAACAGAAGATTATTACTCAGTCCCTGCCTTCCCAGGACCAGAGCTTATAATCGCACCATACAGCTCAAGATTACTGGGGGTTTTTTCCCCCATTTTCCTGATTCCTTATCTGAATGAGGGTAGGAAAAAGCCAGGATGCAGTTTTGCATGGCTGAGCACTGACGTGCTGCTGATGTCTTACCTCCTTGGCAAGTCCCTGCAGCGTTTCCAAGTTGTTTGCCTTTGATGCTTTTAGGGCATCCAGTTCTTCGTCTTTAGCGTCCGTGTCGTTTTTATACTTGTCCACCCAATATTCCAGCTTCTCTTCCACCTTCTGCATGGGGACAGGGTGGTGCTCAGCGTGGGACAAAGAGTGTACAGGGGAAAGGTTTGCTACTATGATGCGGCCTGCTGTCAGGATGGTGGTAAGAGTCCCGTAAATTTTGCATGGTCAGTGTTTCCTTCTTGTCTTGTAAGGGTCAAAGCCCTAGGACTAGAGATAAATTACTGGTGGCCTGCAAGCCGCTCGCTGGGGAATCACCATGGAAGCCGCAGCACTGGACTGGGGATGAAGAGAGACTAGGTTGGGCTGTCAGAGGTGCACGAAGAATGGAGAACCACTGGGGGTTAGTTTTGTGCACAGTCAATCCTGGTGAAGTAAGTGACAACCAGAAGCCATTCTTTGTGTGTATACAGAGGGGGGGTGGGGGGTTAAGAAACAGACTTGGTCAGTGAGAAAGCTTTTATCCTCTGCCTGATTCCCTGCCTGCTTTCTGGATTAAGCTGAGTGCACCAGGGATAAGGTCCCAGGGGACAGCACTTCACACTATTTCAGGTTGTGAACTTGGCTTTGTCTCACTGGTGAATAGGAAGGCAGGTGTTTCTGAAACAGTCGCCCAGATGACTTCCTCCCATTCACCAATAACTTCTCCATAGCAACAACCACGATTGCTTGCATGGAAAAATAATCAGAGGAAAAGCATCAATCTCATTACGGCATCAGAGCTGGACACACGAGGGAGGTGGAGGGCATGGTCATCCTCTTTGCTGTGGGCCCCTGTAAAGCCACCAGCTGCTGTCTGAGGACAGAGGCCTGTACTCTGCCTTCTGGTAGAGGTAAATAGGCTGCAGCTTGTACCTGGAAAGTCCCCTCACCGTGACGCCTTGATCAGACTAAGGCTCTGGGATATAGAGGACACTATTTAATAGCTGACAAGATACAGCACTTTTCTGCACTCAAATTACATTTTTTTAAATTTAATATCTTCTATTAAATTTTGTACTGGCAGTGATGTTGGGTACCCTGCAGTAGCACAGGTTTTCTTCTAGTCATAACATTTATGAGATGCACAAGGACATCCATGATTGGTTGCTGCTGAAAATGTGGACAATAATTGTGAGTTAGCAGTCATCCACCCCTGATTCTTCCTCAGATTAAGATAAGGCAAAACTGGGCTGGCAGTTTGTGTCACTTCCTTCTTAGTGTCCCCTCTGTGCAACACTTGGGTCTGTGAAGCTGTTGCCCTCGCTTTGTGCAGTAGCACTCTTCACCGAGTCGCTGGGAGCCCCAGCTACTGCCAAGGGAGGTCTAAACAAAATCCCAATTAGCTGAATACAACTGTCTGAGGGAGGAAAAATCCCTAACACCTGAATAAACAATGCCAATCATTACATGAACTCAAATTTTAAGGAAATGTATCCAAATGTAGAACATCCCAAGTCTGGGAGAGCTGGTTAATTAAGACTTGAGGATAAGTAGTCGTGCAAACAGCAGCAATCATGAACCTGGTACATTTGGTGGGGCAATCACTGGTTTTCTTTAGGCACTAATTGATGACATAATGTTTATCAGTTGCTATTTTAAGCTTTAGCAGACAGTCACACGTACCTTATGGTGCTGCCTGAGGAAATTTTCAATCTCCGTGTGGACTCGAATCTCCTCCTCAGTTTTGCTCCTCAACTTCTGCGATCAGCGCAGGTAGAAAACATGAGGGACAGCGTTAGTGCACACGTGTGTGCGCGCACGTGCTGCTGAAAGCCGCCAAGCTGGTGAGCAGGAGTGCAGGAGCTCTCCGTGCAGCCCACAGATGTTTTTCCCAGTGACAAAACTAACCGAGGCAGCCCTTGCCCCTGGGCCACCCATGAAAAAGGGGCAATTAGATCAGACCTTGATCAGTCAAAAAAAAAAAAAAAGGCTCGCAAAACCAGAAGTTTTCTAGTCCAGTTCACCTTACGGCCACACGAACAGCTCTATCAGCGTAACGTGGAGCTGGGGCTACTTCTGTTGCTAAATAGGCTTGTAACTACAGCCTTTGGGCACAGTTATGGGTCTGTTTCTCTGAGGATGGTATTAGTTTAAGCAGTCCCTGCCTCCAGCCGCTGTCTCCTGCAGCCACGCCATCTGTGCTGTTGCTGTTTGCAGGACCGTGCAGAGAAGCAGTGGAAGAGAGAAAGATTTCTAACCTGGGTGAGTTTCCTGATCCAGTTCAAACAGTTGTGCTGGTGACTGTGATGGAGAACAGCAAGGGCATCTCAGGAGCGAGGGAGGACTCTTTCCTTACTAGCTGGAGATGCCTTCTGGTAGGGTCTGTGGGGAGGGGGCTCACCTGAATTTCCTTGTCCAGGACATCCTCTGCATTGCTGCACTTCTTCTTGGTTTGGTGGACCTGGAGATCGGTGCTTTTCTTCATGTAGCAGCGCTCCACGTCCGTTTTGGCCTTCATCTCTTGGAGCTCGTCTTTGAGGTAAGCAATCATATTATCTCGGTTCTAGTGGAGGAGACAGAAGCAGCACAAAAGCAAGCCTGGAGACTGAGCTCAGCTCACTGTTTCTTGATCTCTCCACTCCGTGATAAACTCAGAAGAGACAAGGCTATAGGCTTCACACTTTCCGAGTGTTGCTCCATTTCAACCTCTACTTCAAAGGGAAGTTTGGTTTGTAACCCATACAGCGGCAATAAACCCATCAGCGAGGAGCAGTTACCTCTGGAGAGAGTGGAGTGATGAACAGAGTGGGACAAGAAGCCAGGCCTGCTGGTCTCTGGTCCAGGAATTAATTCAGGCATGCTTACTATAAGCACGAAAGAAGCCAAATAATTTCAACTGCTTAAAGTTAGGCTTTACTAACCTCTTGGATTAGGCCGTCTCAGTGAGTGAACATCTGTAAGAGGAGGATAATACCTCAGCCCCACGTACGCCAAAGTTTGATTTCCTGAAGTGTACTCTGTTCCTTGGCCTCATTTCTTTTCTAGTTATGCAGCAACTGTATAAACACAACCTTAGGAACAGGTGAAAATCTAATCTTGACTCATTCATACATTTAAACAGTTCTTTCTTGAAATCTTACCAGGCAGATGGTGCCCGCTTTGTTGTAAAAGCACGCACCCAGGGCGAGGAAGAAGTGCCAAGGAAAAGCTGGTTATGAGCTCCCAGCCTCTCCCCACACCTTGTTTTGCAAAGGAGCTGAGCTTTCCGGAGGGGGAATTCTGTCCCTGGGAGCTCCCCCATGGGCAAGAATCCTGAGCCAACGTGCCCTGTTTGTCCGGCTTTCGGAGCGTGCTCAGGAAGCAAAGTGCACTTGCTTCATTTGGGATTGTTGTTTTGTTTACTCCTTTTTAATGAATTTCTTTGAGTAACAGTTCATTAATCTGGGGTTGGAACTTGGAAGAACCGCCTGTAAAATGAAAAGCTCTAGACTTTTGTAGGGAGAGTTAGAAAGGTCATCAAAGGCTCCTGTGCCATTATGCGAGATCAATCGTAACGCCTCTGGTTTGGCACCTGATTGCTCCATTACAGCCTTTCTCTTTGCTTTCCTGCCATGCTGTGACGGGTTTGACATTCATCAGGCAAACCTTGCAGCTGAAGATGAAATACCAAAGTGCTGGCATTTAAATGTTTTGAAGCTCACATATCTTGTCTCTGAAGCGCTCTTGCATTCCTTAGCTGTGTAAACATGGAAAAATGCCACAGGAAGACGCCAGCTCAATAGTGCTGTGTTTAAAAGCCTCTGCAGCATGACTCATTTGGAAAAGGTTTCCTTATAAGAAGAGTTTGGAACAGTTAAAACGAAAATCCTTCCCTCTGCACCCCTTGTCGGACATAGTTAGGAAGAGTGAAGTATATTTATAAGGCTCAGGACAATTAGGGCCCTTGGCTGATGCTGTTCTGTGGATTTAAAAGTCATGCATTCAAATTTCTTTTGAAGGTTTCATTCCAACATCAGATATCATTTTACAGCCGTATCATCATATGACTGCAGACAGCTACAGACATGACCTATTTATGCCCTATTAAGGTTTCTGGTAATGGCCTTTGTTTTCCCTGGTGTGAAATTTTGGTGGGCATCAGGAGGGGTTGTGTTCCTGGTCAGTACACGTGGGAGGTGACCATACCACTTCATTTTAAGATTGTCTTCCTGTATCGTGGTGGAATCGTGTCTAAATTGAGGGGCTGGCAGAGGGACTGGGGAGATGCTAATGGGAAACACCGATTGTTTGTGGTGCTGAGGCCCAGCAAAGCCAAGCGCTGCCAATGACAGTGCTCCTGCCATCTGCTAAGGATCTGCAAACAGGTCAGAAAAGAAGCCTTCAGCCTAGGTTACAAAGTACTCCGATGTTAGAGAGGTGGGGCAGAGCATGAACACTTCACCAAGTTATTTTCATTTCATATTTTAGTAAAGCAGAGGAAAAAGTGCTTTCGATTCCAGCACCCCAGGCCTCAGCCGGGACGGGGGCCCATCTGCTCAGTTTGTTTTCTTTGTTGTATGGCATGTTTGTGGTTTGGATTCGGTCTGCGGTGTTGTAAAACATCTTCGTTAGAGGTGGGGAGTCTGGGGGCTTGGTTACACAATCCAAAGCAGTCGGGAAGCAAAATGCAAAACCCCACTGGTGTTTTACAGCAACACATTCGCCTGGAGAGGGAAAGTCAGCTGCAGGCTTCTGGGCAGCTACTGCAGCCCAGCTGATGGGTCTGGCACTGCAGAACTGGGGCACATTCGGTTTTAGGCTGCAGGTAGTAAGTGCCCACAAGCTGTGGGCACCATCTGTAGATTATGCTGTTTCCTGAACTTCAGGGACTGGCACTGGGAAAATGCGTTAATATTTATTCAACCTGGTTTATCATAGCAAAGGTCCCAGCCAGGGCATGAAGTGCTTTCATACTTAATGCAGTAAATCTCTGGGCTGCTTATTTGGGATGACTTCAGCGTTGAATCCGCCAAACCAAAGATGCAAAATCATACCTCGTGTGTCCAAAACTATCACAAAACTGGCAGAGACCAAGATCAAAACCCAGGAAATAGTTGTCAAGAGCCAGTCTGCTTTGCAAGCAGGTAAACAAGCTGATTTTCTCTGATCTCTCAGCTCACAGACATCAGCTCAGAGGCCTGTCTGCTGCTGTTAGCTGGTGCCATAGGAGTCTGCCCCACAGATGCTGTTTGGCTGCAAAAGCAACTGCGCTTAGCTGGAGAGAGTATGCACACTTCATTTACTTTGATTTACCACCGTTAAAGTGCCACTAGATCTCTCAGCTCTTCCACAGCAATTAGTATTTACAGTCACTTAAAATACAGCTGGTTACAGAAACAGCAAACAGGAGTAAGCAGTGGGAGGAATTCCTCCAGCAGTCGGATAAACCCCCTGCCGCCAGCAGCGCACCCAGCACCCGCCCTTTGGCCGGCGCTCGAAGGGTGCAGGGGAACGGGTGCTGTGCTACGTGCGGACAGGGAGCCCCACTGCCACGCCGAGTGCCTACGAGCTCAAGTCTCTCCACTGGCAGCTGCGCTATCTCAGCTTGCAAAGCCTGAAGATACGCTTAGATCTCCACACCTGCTGCAGCCTGGGCTTGCTCCCCCTCAAACCACAACGTGCAGCCCTCCAGACACTTCAGTGAGGCTGTAGCCCACATCTCTGTCCCAGCTGCCAGAACATCCCCGTGCTGGACACCCCCGAGATGCCTCAGCTGAAAGGACAGCAGGCCTGGAAGGTCACCCAGCTTTGACACAACGGCTTCTGCAGCCCTCCGGCCGCGGAACGGCTTGTGCTAGCTCACCTCCAATCCCAGCCGCTGCGGGAGCGAGGTGCTGAGGGGCAGTTTGCTGGCAGAGGGAGCAGACCTGTCGGCAGCAGCGCTCTTGCCGAAAAGTCCTGTCCCTCTGGAGCTGGGCTGGGCTCTAGTGCACCAGCCCGAGTTCTGCTGAGCTGCCTTGGGGCTTTGCCAGTGGCGGAATGAGGTCACCCAGGAGCTCAGGACCGTCACAAACCTCGTGCCTTCCACTGTAATCGCCTGGTGCATTTCTCCAGTAGAAACATGCACCAGCGGCTGTGTGTATATATGTTTAAAACATTCCCTCAGAGCACTTCATTGATGCATTTGTCCTCCTGGGAGAGGATAAGGGAACACACATGACAGATTTCAGTCACACTACTAAAAGCACTCCCAAGTGGCGCGCTGATACGGTGGAGCTGGGTGTGTTACGAGAGCCCACACAGAATAAACACCAGTGAGCTGTTTTCCCTGGTACTGTGGTGCAACGTCTTGGTTTTCTGTCTGGTAGGTAGCCTGCACTATTACTGCTTGTTACAAAAATCATACCATTACTTGCTCACATGTATGGCATGAGTCTACCACAAAACCTACAGGACATAAAGTCTTTGAGTGAACAGCGATGCAGGAATTCTAAAGTTTGCATTTCCTAAATTTTTATGTTAAACTATGTACTCCTATACAATATTAACTTGTTTCAAAATCTGTACAGACTGCCACCACTTGTCCAGGAAACTGGACAAAGTGAGTATTTCTGTACAAGCTGGAAAACAAACGCTGCAGCTGCAAACAGAACTCCTGCAGCCAAACTAGAGCTGTCGGGGATGCTCCTGCACGGAGGGGTAAGGGCAAAACCAGACTGATCGTTTCGGCTTCTTTAGAGACATCAGTGCTTTCCAAGAGGAAAGAAAACAAAATAAGTAAAAACATTTAGCATTTGATTTGTGTTCCATTAGAAAGAAAAATGAGCCGAGCAGGCTAATACAGCATTAATTAGCATCTCATTAAGAGGTAGCAAGGCTGAAAATACAAACTTACAGGCAACACGCTTGAAGCAAAGACCGTGTTTTTCTAGTTCCATGATTATATTTGCTCACTTTTGTTTTCTTCTCCACTAGACTGGAGACAACCATGTAGGCTTTTGTCTACAGGTCTGTGCATTATTATTGTTCAAAGTACTCCAAAATGAGCAAGCTGTGTTTTTGCTTTTAATTAGTTGGCAAGGTGACAAATCATGCAAGTGTCTGTAAAACTGCCGATGGGAAAATCCCATATGAAGTGAATAGAAATTATTCTCCCTTGGGAGACACAGTGAGACACCATTATTTTTGGCACAGGAGGAAAGCAGTACTTGAAAGTAGTCTTGTCTTTGATTTGATACCAAAGCTGAAACTATAAGGAAGCCCAGAAAAGGACAGTAAAGTTGGAAATATAAACACAAAATCCCGTATGAGTGCAGATCCCACTTGATGAGGCAAAAAGCAAGAACCAAATCAGCAGAAGATACTGAAAGAACAGGGAGAAGAGCACTCTCTCAGCATGGGAGCTACACACCCTATGACTGCAAGAGGTAGGAGAGGTGCAGGGCAGGACACAGAGAAGCACCCAGCCTGACTGCACGGTGCCAGGACATTGCTGCTAGTGCCAGACAGGATGATTACAGCCCCTATACACCAGACCCTGGGAAGGCATTACACCAGAACCAGATACACACATTGCATGCACAGACACCACGAGGTTTGAGGAGCACTACACAGAAGTACCTCATATTCAGTAGCCTGGGGAGTGGGAGAACAGGAGCTTCCCAGGAGCCATCAGAATCTGACTGAGAAGGGACAATGTGCAGAAGCAAACGGACAACATACAGTCCCTGAGCCTGACAAACTATCCAGCTTATTTCATTTAACTGCCACACAGATGTCAAGGGACTTTTGGGATGTCCTATAGGGCCTGGAAGTAGGCTTCCATACCATTTCCAGTGGCAGTAAGTAAGTATATATTGAGCTATATAGCTCCCCTTTTCAGTCCTGGCTCTGACCTCTACATCCTTTAGATGTTCAGTTCAAATCTGTAGGGAAGAAGTTAATCCTGCATTTCTCTTTTAGTTGCCACAACTGTTCTTTCTTGGTTTGTCTCCTAACTTGCTAAATTTCTATTTCCTTCGGGATTTCTCTTCTTTCTTCTCTCTCTTATGTCCACAGGTTTTTCCCAGTGTTCTTTTCTTCTTGCTACAGTGTACGTTATGCCTTTCCAGGATCTCCACTAGTAGATGAGCACTGACCTAAGTGAATTTTCTGATCTTATATGTTCTTGCTTTCTTCTCTGCTGTTATAGTATCTCCCCTGAACTTCTGGTGTTTCATCAGTTGTAGACAGCTGCATACACTGCCAGCACCAATAGATCCTTCACAATCTTACAACCATCCTGTGTTTACATCCTGGTTTGGCTGGGACAGAATCACAGCCCAGCCATGCCAGGCAGGCCATTAGCAGTTTCGAGTCAGCCAGGGCAGCTGACCTGAGTTAGCCACAGGGGTAGCCCATCCCATCATGTCATGGTCATTGTAAAGGGGGAAGGTTTGCTGGAGAGCGCTCCTGTGCTGTTACTGCTGAGGTTCTTCCTGAGTTTCCTCCTCTGGCTTCTCCCAATGACTGCTCTTCAGTTGATTGTGAGGACTGGATGTTTATTTGGCTGAGTATAACTGTGTATCTCTGTTGGTATTGGTGGTGTTCCATTAAATCTGTTTCACTTCTACCCATGGGTCTGCTCTCCTTTTTCCCAATTCCCCTCCCTGGCTGGTGAGGGGTTGTTGGGTGATAGAGCGACTGTTGTAGTTTAGCCCCAGGTACAGGCTAAATGTAGACAATTTACAATTAAACTTTCTACTGCATGTGCATCCAGGCTGCCAACAACAAACCTTCATGTTCTATAAACTGTACTTCACCAGCGTGTCAGGGGCTTAAAATTCCTCTCTGTAGCCAACTATATCCTGGCTCAATTACTGTCCACACTTTTGTCCAAAGACAAAATTCAGTGACACTGATTCTTTCCTCAGATGCCCTTACTGTCCCCTTGCTCAGCACTGAACTGTCAGACTGTTGTTCCCTCTTCCAGTCCTTGTATAGCTCTGAACCTGCCTGCCTTTTGCTAGTGTTCTATCACATGCTCTTTCCTGCCTCAGCAGGGCTAGGCTATGTTTGTTTCTGCACAGAACTGTACATGCTTTTGCCCTAAAGCACGCATAAGCATTGAGTCTGAGCTGTCTGGTGAGCATTGAAGTGACCAGGGATGTGCCACTCAATCGATCTGCACTTGTGTAGCAAGTCTGACGTTTCCAGAATGCCCCAGCTGTGCTGTGCACACACCACTTGCATGCTGCAGACGGGACTGAAGCTTTCCAGAAAGATCCAGTTGACAGCACATGTGCAATAACATTGATCTGCCCTTGTGTAAAACCCCATGTTTGGGATTTTCTGATACCTGGAAGACTAAAATCATGATATTTTCCCCAGACAAAATTGTAGGTAGAAAAATGACATGCCCCTATGTCCGGTGTCTGTCTTTCTCATTCCCTCATTGTCACACTTTCTCCTGTGCCAGTTGTCACGTCTGCGTGGGTAAGTATGACAGAACCTTCGATACTGCTATCTGCAGATAAACTCTTTCTCACCAATTGCAGATGTCCGTGCTTTACCACTCCCAGCAGTGGTTTTGGGGTAGTCTAATTTGATCATGGTCTCTCATGAGCATTTTGAGCTCCCATTTGAAAACCATTGGACACTGCTTTTAAAGTCATTGCCAGGCTTATTCAGAATACAACACTCTATTGCAATTATTCTGCTTCTATATTCCTAAACGATGTATATATGCAACATGTCCTCTCATCTGAGTGCTAGTTCCTGGGTGGCAGAGGCGAGCTTGCTAACAGGCGCTCCCCCTGGTGTGATGCCCAGTGCTAAGTAATCTCACCTGAAGTTCTATTTCAGTTTCTTTCTTGACATCTTGCAGCTGTTTCTCAAGTGACTTTATCTCCTTCTTTCCTTCCTCCTCCCTGAACAAAAATGGGAAAATACCATCACTTGAATATATCAAAAAAGACAAGGGCCGTTTACCTAGAAGGAGAACTTTCTGTCTCCTGGTATACTGTGGCACCTAGCTGAGCACTGCCCCACTTACCCTGCTCACTCAACGGGTTTGTAGCAGCTGAATTAAAAGAAATGCACACAAAGCCTTGTCCTGCTTCTTCAGAATAGCAGAAGACAAGCCCCTTGCCGTGGCTGAGTAGCAAAAAAGGCATTCATCTGTGCCTCAGGGAGGCAGCACATCTGCAAGTCCGGAAGAGAGACTCCTCACCAAAGCTAGTAACTTGGTAAATTAATCCCAAAACAAGAGGTGCACAGACTGAGCAAAGAGGATGGGAATGAAAGGGAGAATGAACAAAAAAAAAAAAAGGGATGCTTTTGTTGAAAGCCTGGAGTGGACTTGAGGATGATGCGATTCCTATAGCAGAGAGGGAAGAAGCCTATAATTAAGTGACAGCTTCTGCACTTCAGGCAAAAATCTCCTTGTTTCTGTGCAGAAGCATGCCTAATCAGCAGACAGTGGCAAATGGTATAAGTTTCATTATATGTATGGAATATGTTTTTTTTCATATTAGAGTTAAAATCTTTCAAAAAACACTGCCTCAGATTCTGAGATCCATGAAGGGATATGAGCGAAGGCCAAAAGCTACAGAGCTGTTTACCTGTTTAAAACAAAACAGATGCAGTAATGTTCTAGATCTGATTATCTTATTTCACTGAGTGCTTTTCTAAGCTTTTATGCTTATGATTTGATTTAAAGCCAGTAAATACTAGAGTACTACCCGAGACTTCATACCTATCCCAACCTTACAGTCAAACATGCATTTCATTTTCAGAGTCCTTAGCTGGGTGACTGTGATAAATAAAGCTCCTCGTAAGGAGTTCCAGTCTTACTGCAGACTGCTTTCAGGCTAGTATATTAATACAAAACTATGAAAAGAATGTATAGTAGAACAGACAACATGGGAGCTAGATATGATTGATAAAATGGAATAAAAAATTATGTCCTTTCTGATTATAATTTGTCTGCTCCACTTTCCAGTATTGAATAGTTATTCCACAAGCAATTGCTGCTTTCGTTTTTGCTTTCTGTCCCTTCCATGGATAAACAATAAGTCCCTTGGGTTTAGACAGTGGAAGAGTTCAGTTTCATGCTTGAAATCACACATTTAACTGGAAGCTGGGGACTCACACTGGAGGCAGACCACTAAGCTGTTCCAGTAGGTTGAACTCATGACAAATCATGACTTACAGCAGCTTTGCTGTCTACCCTAAATGATGGGCCTGAGCTGCTACACAGAACAAAATAGCTTTAAAACGGTCAAATACTTCTCTGATGACTGCTATTCTCTCTGACAGGCTGGGGACTGAACTAGGGCTTCCCGTGCTAAAAAACCTCCAAACCACTGGTGCACAGAAGTTTGAGCTAAGGAACCACCAGTTTGCGTTGAGATTATAACAAATCCATACCCTATCCGATTTGGGACAGAAGAGGATCTAGAATGCAGTGGCTGGTGGATTAGCCTTAAATAAGACAACTGCCTCTGTCACCATCTGTGCTAGCCCCTTGCTGCTACTGGGAAAAGGGAGCATATTAGCATATGGGTCAGAGCAGATCCTCCTGGGCATCACATAACTTAGAGACCATATGTTGCTGGCCCTGGTTTGAACAGATTCTCTGCTGCTCTGGCTTTCACTGGGGACTAGGAGTTAAAGATCAGGGAGCTCCTACATCACATTATGTTTTAATTGATATGGAGCATCATTTGCATTAAAGCAGACACTGGTGTCTGCTGTGGTGAAAGCTCAGGCAAACCCTAGTTCAGATCGGTATCAGAACCATCAGTTATTTCTTTCTGAAAGGGAAAGAAGTGCCATTTGTAAAGCAGATAGAATAATTCCAGTTGAAAAAGCAGAGTCCTTTCTGTATCTTGGGTGGTTTGGGGGTGGTTTTTTGGGGTTGGGTTTTTTTTTTTTCCTTTTTAGCATGTACTGAGGGGGAATGGACTTTGACTTTGAGCAGTTAAGCAGCAAAGTACTGAATACAGCACTGACCTGATGAGGAAATCATGAAACTTGATCATTTTTGCCTTCTCTCTCTCGTTAGCTTCTGTTAGGCTATCAAATGTTCCCGATTCCTGCATCTTTTTCATAGTAAGTGTAATTACATCACTTGCATACTGCCTGCCAGGAAGAAAAGGAACACAACAGTGATTTATAGGTGCTGGTACTACAGTGTCTGTTACCTTTATCCATTATTGTTTACGGCTAGAAAGGTAAGGAAATATAAGATCCCATTTCTGTTCTTCCATCTATCAAACCCAGGAGTGCTTCTCCCATGGTATCTGCTTGTACATCTGGAGAACTCTGTATTAGGAGTTGGTTGAAGTTTATAATTTAAAAATGCTGCCCTGAATGCTGCTCTGGGAAATAGCAAAGAGGCAAAAACATATCCATGCTGTGCCAGACTGTGCTGCCATCAGATCTGGCTAGATCCTGGCATGAATTCCACCCAAGCAACCATTATCAACTGGGTAGTATTTTGCAACACCATTCAAAATAAACTATTACCATTACTTGGCATCCAGAGGCAAGCAAAGGCCCGAACTAAATGGCCTATGAAGCTAGACCCCACTGTGCTCCTTAGAGGTTCTCCTTCCAGACCAAGAGTAAGGTACACCAGCAGTGGGAGAGTGGGAAGCCTCTATTTATGCTTTCAAGAGACAGACTGACAACTTTACAGCTCTGGGCATCCCCCTCAACACTATCATAGTTGTGCTTCACTCACCTATCAGCCTGAATTTTTCTGAGTTTCTTTACAGACTGAGCACTGTGTTTCATAGCCCTGTTGGAAAGACGATGGGTACTTTTTAGATCTTCAGTTTTGCCCAGCTGCTGCTTGTGTTTGATGCTTTTCTGAGACATGGAGGTAGCTCTTTCCTCACTCCCTTGCCTTGCTGACATAAGCTCTTGGTAGTTCATGTCCAGCTCCTTCTGGGTCTCTATGATTTCTTTCATTTCCTGGATGCCAGTCTAAAAGGGAATAAGAGAGACCCACTTGAACACTGGGCAGTAGAAATAAACCCTCTGCAACATTATGTGAGAGGAAGAAAAAATAATAATAAACTAGAATGAAGCTATACTAAGAGCAGCTGGTAGTGTATGTTACATTCTGCAAAGAGCAGAAGAGCAGAAACACTCACCTTGGTTGGCTTTGAGCACACAACATAGGCTTATTAAAGTTTATGGGATCAAAAGTCCTAAAGTGACAGGACTAGAAAAGGCCTTAAAAGGTGAATTCATCTGCCCCAGGAGATGATGGTTCAGACTGTGTCGTTCCTGACACGTCCCTAATGACCTCCAACAATGGAGACTACGCACCCTCCTTCCAGTGCCAGCATGTCATGACAGTCTTTACCATAAAAACGTTTATTTTCTCCTCAGCTGCAGCTGAGCTCCTGGTTTCTTGTCCTAGTCTCCGTAGGCACAGAGAACAAATCATTCTGTCCTCCTTTGCAGCAGCTTTTATGTACTGGAAGACTGTTTCTCCTCCACCTTCTCTCTGTCTTAGCCATTTCCCACTGCCTGTCACCGTGACCTTTCCCTCCAATATTATTGTTATAACAAGAGCTGAGACGTGTAGAAATAGAAGTGATAGACATCAGCTATCTGCTTAGCTGTTTTTTGAGAGTCACAGCAGAGGAAGTGTAATATGCATTCAAAGAAGAAATTCTAAATATTGGCAGCTCTTTTCCACATGGAAAGGTATCTTGTGGCTGGGTACGATTTTATTAAAAGAGAAAAAAAACAGAAAAAACAAAAGCAAACTATAAAATCAGTGGAGGCCTTGCTTCTAGGAATTTCCCTGCTTTATGTGCTATGGGTAAGAATGCAGGTGTACAGACTGGGACATCAAAAGAGAGTATTTTCCCACCTGCCTACCAGCATCTCTGTGGCTGAACACATACTAGCCAAACCGCTGAAGCCAGCTAACACAGCCACTGCCAGCCCCATCCTAGTCCATAGCTGCCTACTCCCCACCCTGGCTGCTCAGGCAAATGGATTAGAGAACTCATGGAGCAGAAGCATTTTCCAGCAAAAAGGAAAAAAAAAAAAAAAAACGGTTTATTTTTAGCAGCACAGTTCTCAGCCCAGATCCCTGCACAACCGCACACACGTTTGTGCCAACACAGCACAGAGGGCAGAATAAAAACCAGCAGTCAGGGCAGCAGCTGGGTGTGCCAGTAGGGCTTCCAAGAAGTCACTTGTCAAGCGAGGCTCCCTTAGTGGTCTGTGAGGACGGCGCAGGGCACTGCCAGGGGCTGCTTCGTTCTGAGGACCTTGGAGATCCTTGGATATCTCCAGACGACACGCATCAGCCTCTGGCAGCGCCTGACTCACCGCTGGCTACAGAAGGAGTCTAGGTGACTACATGCTTAATTTTTTGGACAGTTAAATTTACATTAAATTAATTGCATGCAAAGTATACACAGACCAATGAAAATTACAGAGTTAGTTAAAAAAAAAAGGGTTTCAACAGTTTGCTGGTGATGGCTGTACTTCAGAAAGCACTAATTTTGGCAAACAAACTACTTTAATATTACATAATTTTATGAATGTTCTGACAGATGTTTTTAAATGTCTGGGAAAGTTCAAGACGGGCTATAACTGGATTGTCTGTAAACAGTAGGGACTTACACATAATAATTACCAAATAACTATGTAAAAGCAAGGAGATTGTAAACTGCTTGTGTTACCATCTGTGTAGTTTCCTAGCTGTTTATCTTTTGCTAGTCTTTTGCCCAAAATTCAGCAAATAGAAAGGCTGCCTTCCTCTGGGGATGCACTGCATGAAGCAATGTACCAGAGTCCCCCATTTGGAAAGTCAATGAGGTGCTGGCCAACACTAAGATTAATCCTCTCAACTGAAATTTAGATGTCAATCTTTGAAAATGCTATTGGTTTGTTTGACTGACAGGGCTCCAGGGTGCTTTGCAAATATAGGTCTTCTACAAATACTATGGTAACAGCCAAATGTAAACTGAGAAATGGGGAGGAGCAGCAAATTACAGAGCACCGAAGTTAGCAAGTAGCTTCCCTAAAGCCATTTCCTTGTTTCTAAATTGTTTCCTTCTCGATTTGTTTTGGCATCTCTAAGAATACAAGTAGTCTGTGAGACTATTTAGGTTTACTGTCTGAGAGAAACTTGTGTTTTAAGAAAGGACTTGGTAAAAATGAGCATCTGTGATTGAAGAGAGAAGCGAAGGTGTTTTCTCTGTAATTTAAGTGTACCTTTAGCAGGTCTATCAACCTAAGCCTGTGTGTCTGAAGAACAACTCCTACTGTCCTAGAGATATGCTCTTTCTCTGTGTTTTTGCTGCTGGCACATAAGAGGTTTCCCACCCAGCTCTGTGAGGGAGAAGCATCCTCTGGAAACAGGTGATGCTGGCTCACAGGGCTCTTTTAAGGGGAGGAGCGCCCTCTATTGCACAGTCTAAGCATCGTTCACGCCCTGAAATTCACTGTTAACACCAGCTTCTGCTGCTTTGCAACGGATTTTTTTTGAAAAGAAAGTAGTATGGAAAGGAAACACATAGAAAACGACATACTGATTTGCATTCTTAAGTGGTACATTAGACGGAGTGAACGGCATTCGATCTGAAAACTCGGATCCCAGTTTTTATTTCCATCCTGGTCACACACCTTTTTCTTTTTTTCCCCTCTTAAAAAAGAGTTTCAAGCCAGCTTGAAGTGGAAACGGCCTGCTATGTCATTTAAAACACATGACAACAGAGCTTAGAACCATTTACCCCTCAGGATGGTCCCAGCCTGTTTCCGATGTCTATCAGCTACCAGAAATACCACACCACCTTCCTCCACAGCAACAAACCTCTGCCTGAGCATTAGGGCTTCAAATCAACTCATTGATAAAGGTCATTGAGAATGGGTAGTTACTAATATATTTTGAAGTGGAGTCTTTCTTAAGTCATTGTCTGTGGGGACTACAGGAACTTCAGCATGGTTTTGTGTGCTTTCAAATATGCTATTCTTTTGGATTTTTAAAAAGGCTGCATATCTGTATAAGAACCTAGATATGTGGTTTTTTTTTCTTTTCCCTAATCCTTTGCTTGTCATCTAACCACCATGATTTTAATACTATAATCCCAGGAACCTCATCTTGGGTCAGTAGGGTCCTTTGCACAAAGTCTTGACAAAGGCTTCTCAATGATGCTGCAGTATAATTATTAAAGTTGGTCATCCATGCACTTTTATTGTATTTCTTCACCCAAGGGTCATAGAGCACTTTGCAGAAAAAATATTTGAACTGATTTTTAAAAAATGCTGCTAGAAGACACAAAACCAAGACAAGAAGAAAACCAAGAGAGATTTCTTTAAAGAGCAAGGATAGAGGCACGTACATGGCTGATGTCTGTCTTGCCCTCGCATGAAACTGGCATGATATATCCAAGAATTGAGAGCTGATCAATACAATGCTCCAGCACAGAAGTAAACAGCAGAGCTTCCAGATGAGTGAATTTTTCCATTTCTTTAGTCTCTGTGCTCTTGCTAAGAGGAACAAAGACAAAAGATACCAATGAGAAAGACGCTATGGTGTTAGTAACAGCAGTTTAAACTGAAGGTGGACCTGAAATAGCCTTCTTTGCAGCCTTTTGTACACATCCCGAGCTTTGTTTATAGCCTTTCATACACTGTTTATAAGAGGAGCCATGCTCTGCATTCAGGGACAGTGGGAATGTTTAGCTTTCACAAAACAAAGTAGGTCCTGGTCCCTCCTACAGCAGATCTGGGCCGACAGGCTGAGAAGGGAATGCGTACAGAGGGCACAAACTGGGTGAAGTGGCCTCACCATTCAGTTCAAGGGGGAGTAGCGTTTCGTGATGGATCTTGTTCTTTGGGAAACAAGGGAATAAAGGTGCCTTTTTAAAAGAAAAAAAAAAATCCACATGTCTTAGAAAATCTCAGATGGCGAACCTTCATGTTCTAATCACTCCTTGTGATTACTGTGGAGCCTTAACATTGTGATGATCCCAATCCCCTCAGCAG